GGCTCGATGTTTAAATTAAACTGATGGGTTTGAAGATTAATAATTGTTTGACTGACCGACCGTATTGCAAACTCATAATTCATATTTAACAATTAATTACTTAAACAGCATCAATAGCATTCTGAAACATGTGATCTAATAATAATTTTTGCTTAAAGCATTTTGGTTTTTTTATTTATTATGAGAAACACAATGGTTTTATATGTAAAATAATAATCACAATCGAAAAAAATAAAGGCATAAACTCATAGCAGTAACTTTAATAATGAGTGTAGAAAAGAAACAGAGAGAATTGATATACAATTTGACTTTTTTAGATTCCTCTATTGCAATAACTTTAATGAGTGTCTTTTCTTTTCTGTGTACAGTTTGATGGGATCATTTGTTCCATTTGGTGGATTCTTCTCAACTCCTTCTGACCTGAAACTACCTTTCCCCGGTTTCAACAAGGAAATCACTGGACCAGTTTCTTCAATATCTGATCAGACCCAATCTACCTTGCCACCTTGGTTACAGATGACCACAAGAACTGATTTAAACCAAAAGTCTAGTGCCAAGGTCGGTTTACTTTATCTTGTCATATTAATTTGTTAAATCTCCCATAATCGTGAAAGTATGTTTCTTGAACTACAAGTTCTCTCGGGTGAGTACGTAATTTCATTATGTTTATGTTAACTGCTACGTGTATTTATATCCCCTCAGTGCAGACCAAAGAAGGGTTGGAATCAGTTTGTGGGAATAAGTCCACGAGCAGTGCTTCTGCATCCACCGGTTCAGCTAAATCGGTCACTACTGATCTGAATCTGATGATATATTCAGCCACCGCAGGATCCGGTCTCAAGAACCATTTGGAGAGAGATTTGTCTCAGCCACAATCTGTGTCTTCTTCTTGCTTGCATAATCCAAGGGACATCACCGCAGAGAGCTTCAAGATAATTTACAGAAGATTAACCGATAGGGTTTCAGGACAAGATAATGCAGCTAGAGTAATCAGCTGTGCATTGTCACAACCGCCTAAGACTGTCACTCGAAGAGATGTTTGGCTTAATTTGGTTGGTTCTGATACTGTAGGCAAGAGGAGAATGTCGCTTGTCCTTGCTGAGATTGTGTACCAAAGCGAACACAGATTTATGGCCGTTGATCTTGGTGCCGCGGAGCATGGAATAAGCGGTTGTGATGATGCTATGCGGTTGAGAGGAAAGACGATGGTTGATCATATCTTTGAAGTGATGTGTAGGAACCCTTTCTGTGTGGTTTTCCTTGAGAACATTGAAAAAGCAGACGAGAAGCTACAGATAAGCTTGTCAAAGGCAATCGAAACCGGGAAGTTTATGGATTCACACGGGAGAGAAGTCGGTATTGGAAACACCATGTTTGTTATGACGTCAACTTCACAAGGTTCCGGAGCAACAACATCTTACTCCGAAGAGAAACTATTGAGAGCCAGAGGAAGGCAAGTTGAGATATGGATTGAAACTGTATCCAGCTTACCAATTGTGAGATCGGTTACAGGCTCAACCTCGGTGAACAAGAGGAAGCTGATTGGATTAGGGAATATTCAGGAGAAGGAAAGAACAATGGAGACCATAAAACGGATGAACAGAACATCTAATGGAGTTCTTGATCTGAACCTTCCTGCTCAAGAAACCGAAATCGAGGAAAAATATCATTGTGAAGAGAACTCAAACGTTTGGTTGATGAACCTGAAGAAGCACGAACGTCTCATTGAGGTTCCTTTCAAGCCTTTTGATTTTGAAGGACTAGCTGAAAAAATCAAAAAGAGCGTAAAAGAAATTTTCAACAAGTGTGTGAGATCGGATTGCTTGCTGGAGATTGACCCTAAGATCATAGAACGATTGCTATCGGCTGTTTATTTCTCGGACAGTAGAAAAGATATCATCAAAGAGTTGATGGAGAAAGTAATGAGTCGAGTGTTCTTGAAAATTAAAGAAAGGTATGAAATCACTACTAGTTGTTGTGTAGTAAAATTAGTTGGTCGAGATCTTGACATTTTTCGTGAGGATCAAAAGGACTTGTTCTTTGTAAAATCTCAGTAGGTTAAAGATAGCTTTTTATATGGAAAGTGTATCATATATAAGGTAGAGTTAGCAATAGATGTTTATTGTTCTTTTTGTGTTGCTACACTATTATAATGTGTGTTCATGATGTAGTTATTGAGTGGATCTTTCTCCTTGTTTATATGTATAAGCTTATGTAAATGAATTGGTTATTTACATTTTATTTTATTTCATTTTCTATGTTTTAAACAATTCGATTGCGTTTAGTAAATAACGAACATTTAAATAGATATGATCAGTCGTTAAAGAACAAATTGACTTTCAGAAACAGGATCAGGATACGCACTACGAACATCTAAATATACATGATCAGTAGTTAAAGAACAAGTTATTTCGATGATTTGTTTATTTTCTTAGTTTTGTTCTATATATGATTGGGATAAATAAATAACTCAGGATCAGTCTTTCAAGTTTCCCACATAATTTATTCATCGTAAATCGTTGTACACACACTCGATGACTCGGTCCACAATCTGATGCAATATGCTGACGAGAGTTTTGGGAAATAGTTTTTTTTTTTTGTGAGCAAACGCACGAAAGTATCTCTCTAGTTATAAAAAGGTTACTATAATAATAAGTTGACCATATAAGCAAAGAACCAAAATTGACCAGAAGGAGCGTAGCAGAGTCATACTTCTTCAGCATGTATACGACTCAAGTTGCTCAAAAACATGATCATTCATAATTCTTCGTGGGAAGAAAATTACACACACACACACACATATATATATATATATATATAGATAAAATAGAAACTGTCTAATTGGTGGTATTATGAATTATTTGGTGATTATAATTAAAAACTATCAGCCTGTTTTAAGGTAATTATGAGTTATGATAGGTACTTATGAGTTATATAGAGTTTATAGACGATAGACTTAGGTATTTAAAAATGAATAAAATATGTGTTATTTATATGTATGTTTATATTTTTATGCATGTATCTAATGCATTTGTAAGTTAGTGACTTAGATTTCGTAATCTGTTGGTATTTGTGGAGTAGTAGTATAAACGAGTTCACAAAATAGCAAATTTGTGATGTATGATTGGAGTTGGAAAACTCGTTTATACACACACAGAAGATAGAAGAATCGTAGAAAAGTAAAAGAATAATGAGGAGCAAGTCAAATAACGAACGGACTAATCCATTAATGTTTTCTGTGACTGAAACTAAATTATATATTAAAAATACAAAAAAAACAAGAGAAAAAAATAAGTGAAATGATTTTTATAACAAAAGTTAAAGGTTTAGTATAATAATTAGCAAAACAAATTAAGGAAAAAGGAAAAAAGAAAAAAAAAAAAGTGGAAGCGGGCGGCCAAGTGAAGACATTCTCTGTCGCCCACCCAAACACTCATAAGAAGAGAAGGCGTGCTTCGCTTTCTCTCTTTCTCCACGCGCATCCTTGTGCGTGTTTTGTTTTGTCTATCACTCGCTTTTTTTTATCCTAATCACTCCATTATAAAACTACCCACAACACCAAAGTTTTGATCGCTAGTGACATACTTTTAAGATAAGCTAATCTATAAGATTGTTAAGATAAAGTTTGGTATCTGTTTATTGATTGTTTAACTAATCTAGGTTTTTGGTTTTGTATCAATATCCATATAAAGTATTGATGTGTTAGACCATGGAATATGTAGTGTGATAGTATCTTTAGAGAAAGATCAGTAGTAGACTTCTTAAATGTGCTAATGAAAGCGCGTACCGAAGACACTCACAATCACACGGTTGTAGAATGAGGTTACCTGGTAAGTGCTAAGTCGGTCGATTTGATCGATGGTAGGGTCCTTTACACATCCCCAACTCCATTTTTACCACTATATCAACCACTTATATATTTCTCATAGAAAAATCTTTTATTGATACAAATAGTTCTTAGGATATGTTGGAACTTAGAAATTATACAAGTAGTAGTAGAACAATCTCAGGATCTTTTTCCCCATGCTATTATAAAATACGGATATAGCCATGCATTTATGTAAGAACATCAGGCAGATGTAAGATATATGTATAAACTAATGTAGAGATCTGGTCAGATGTTAAAATTTATTGTCTTTTCAAGTTTAAACAACCTTTGTCCACCAAGATAATACATAGCTATATTGTCATTCCAAGTCTTTAATTTTCTTTCTAAGTAATGTGTTCAGCTAAATCCATGCATGATCATTTGATATCACAACCTACAACATTTTGGGTCATTTTCTATTGTGGGTTTTTGAGTACATGGGTAAGTTAGTTCCCTTTAGAGATTTGTTTTCTTCTTTGTTTAATTAAAACAAAAGTTTACTTTATTTCGTTAAATAATCAAACGAAGTAATTGATTAGGAATTTAGAAGTAGGTCCTAATAACTCTTAAAAGAGCCAACAATGGTTTTGGTTGTAACAAAAGCAAAATGGGTTACATTATCCTTGTATCTAGAAAACTTTTAACCAAAAAACAACAAACTTGTTACCTAGAAACAATAAAAGACATCCCCCGGAATGAGACTTTTTCTTACATAACTGATAAACAATGGGGGTCATTTGTTTTGTTTATTTCCCCCTTCAAATGAAAATTGCTTTTTGATCATTATAAAAAAGACATTTTAAAAAATCAATGAGATAGGAAGAATAGATATTATAATACTTTATTATAAAAAAGATATTATTATCATTTAATATTCTATGATTAAAAAGAAGATATTATAGTAATATTTTAACAAAAAGACAAAGAAATACAAAAAAAAAAAACAATTGAGAGTAATAAGAGTCAGCAAAACAGCGACGTCCTTACCTTTTAAAAGTTTCCAGTTTTGACTTTTGACCTAAACCATTTCCTAAGACAAAAAACAATTGCAATTGAGAAAAGAAAGAAGCAAATAAAAAATGTTTTATACATAAAATAAGAAAGAAAGAAAGAAGAAGACCGGAGAAAGGTAGACGAAAGAAAGAGCGCACCTTCCTCTCTCCTTCTCTGTAGAAAAAATCCCCCCAAGTGCCTCCTTTTAAAAGGAGCCTTTCATTTCTCATTTCATCCTTCTTCAAAAACCCAACCCAACCCAACCACTTCTTCTCCTCAATAAACCTCTAAAGTTTCATCTTCCTTCTCTAGCTTTCCCCTCCCAAGTTTATCTTTTTTTTCTAGGTATGTTTTGATTCTTTTCTCTGTTTTTTTTTGCTATTTCTAGAAATATATTATCTTCACTCTTTCAGGATTTTTGGGGTTTGTTAAACAAATCTTTGTGGTTTTAATGGCTTGATCTTGACCTATTTCTTCCCTCTATTGAATTTAAAACGCTCGTAATTATATGAAAAAAATTCATTACTTTGCTTTAATTGGGGAATAATTTTTGGGTATAAAGAAGAATCTTCTTGGAAATGAAAAATTGAAACTTTGAATCAAAGCTCAGCTCTTTTCTCCTTCTTATTACGTTTATTCTCACTGCAGGCAGAGAGATGTGTGGCGCAAAGAGCAACCTTTGCTCGTCTAATACCCTAACTGAAGTCGAATTCATGAGGCAGAAATCTGAAGATGAAGCTGCCGTCACGTCTCTCCTCGAATTCGCCGCCTGCGACGATCTTTCGTCGTTCAGGAGAGAGATCGAAGAGAAATCATCGGTGGGGATCGACGAGACAGGGTTTTGGTATTGCAGACGGGTCGGGTCGAAGAAGATGGGTTTTGAAGAAAGAACACCTCTTATGGTTGCTGCTATGTATGGAAGCATGGAAGTGTTGAATTACATAATCGCCACCGGCAAATCTGATGTGAACAGAGTTTGCAGTGACGAGAAAGTCACTGCTCTTCACTGTGCAGTTTCTGGCTGTTCTGTCTCTATCGTTGAGATCATCAAGATCTTGCTTGATGCTTCTGCTTCGCCTAATTGTGTTGACGCTAATGGGAATAAACCGGTTGATCTGTTAATTAAAGCTTCCCGCTTTGTGCCTAACCAGAGTAGAAAGGCGGTTGAGGTTCTGCTTACCGGGATTAATGGTTCTGTTAGTTTGATGGAAGAGGAGGAAGAAGTGAAGAGTGTTGTGACTAAGTATCCAGCTGATGCATCACTTCCTGATATTAACGAAGGTGTTTATGGAACTGATGAGTTTAGGATGTTTAGCTTTAAGGTTAAGCCTTGTTCGAGGGCTTATTCACATGATTGGACTGAGTGTCCTTTTGTTCATCCTGGTGAGAACGCCAGGAGGAGAGATCCGAGGAAGTATCCTTACACTTGTGTCCCTTGTCCCGAGTTTCGTAAAGGCTCTTGTCCTAAAGGAGATTCATGTGAGTATGCCCACGGTGTTTTCGAGTCTTGGCTTCACCCTGCGCAGTATAGGACACGGCTTTGTAAAGATGAGACGGGTTGTGCAAGGAGAGTGTGTTTCTTTGCTCATAGACGGGATGAGTTAAGACCGGTTTATGCTTCCACTGGTTCTGCAATGGTTTCACCAAGGTCGTCTAATCAGTCTCCTGAGATGCCGGTTATGTCTCCTTTGACACTGGGATCGTCGCCAATGAACTCCCCTATGTCTAATGGTGGTGTTCCTTTGTCTCCAAGAAATGGTGGTTTATGGCAGAACAGAGTTAATAGCCTTACACCGCCACCGTTGCAGCTTAATGGCAGCAGATTGAAGTCGACTTTGAGTGCTAGAGATATGGATATGGAGATGGAACTTAGGTTTCGCGGTATGGATAACCGCAGACTTGGTGATCTCAAGCCATCCAACCTCGAAGAGACTTTCGGATCATATGATTCATCTGCTGTGATGCAACTTCAGTCACCAAGCAGGCATTCTCAGATGAACCACTATCCATCTTCCCCTGTGAGACAGCCGCCTCCTCACGGATTCGAATCTTCAGCAGCCATGGCAGCTGCAGTGATGAACGCAAGATCCTCAGCGTTTGCAAAACGCAGCATGAGTTTCAAGCCTGCTCCAGTAGCGTCTTCGAATGTCTCGGATTGGGGATCACCAAACGGGAAGCTCGAGTGGGGAATGCAAAGAGAAGAGCTGAACAAGCTGAGGAGAAGCGCATCATTTGGCATTCACGGAAACAATAACAATGTGTCTCGCCCTGCAAGAGACTACAGCGACGAGCCAGATGTGTCGTGGGTGAACTCACTGGTGAAGGAGAATGCACCGGAGAAAGCCTTGGGGTTAAATGAGAGGGTCGGGAACACGGTGAACGGGGCAGCTGGTAGAGACAAGTTTAAGCTGCCATCGTGGGCAGAGCAAATGTACATAGACCATGAGCAGCAGATTGTGGCATAAGTAAGAAGCGGGAAGCAGAAAGAAAGATGGGATACTTATTGCTTTGTCTTCTGGGCCTCTCTACACAGAATCTAACAAATCTGGCAATAATTCTTTGATTTGTGTTTGACCCAATAGTTTGGTACACTAGTATATGTTTTTCTTTTATATATCATCTTGTTCTTTTTTTCTTTGTCATTCTCTTGTCCTTTGTGACACTATGTAATGATTAAAAGCAAATAATTGATGCATGAGTTCAAATGTTCTTTGAAGGATCTTATTAGCTTTTGTAACTTTTGTGATATCATAAACTTTACCTGTAATGAATGACACGGAATAATTCAAGTGCTGCTGAGCCAAATAAGGCGGCGCCTACAGAGGAACTGGGATGCCAAAGCAACCATGTGATAATGTTGAATAAAATCTTTCATTTTGTGGTGTTATCGATGTGTATCAATGCTAATCACCTATCATCGCGTTTGCGCATGAATTTGAGAAACTACACTGTCATGATCCATAATTCTCGGTTTTCAAAGTTTATATATACTTGACTCATTTTTGAGCTGAAGTTGATAAGAGAAAAGTAACTAATACTAAGCTTCCCTGCTGCTACATTTAATTCCTTGTTATAACTCCATAGGTAGTTTATTGTTTCTTTGCGGAACTCTATAAATAGTTTAGTCTATGATTATGAAGAGAGATTACATTTTTAAATTCTAAAGTGGAAAAAAAGGAAAATTATAAGTAAAGTCGATGTCCACCAATAAAGCTTTTAATAAGGCCAAAATAACCCAATCCACCAATCCTGTATAATAGTTGTCTAAATCTTTAATAATCCAAATCTTCTTTTCTCCTATATGATTGTCTCTCTCCTCCGGGTTCTCTCTCTGAGCCACATACCGACACTTACATAACTGTTGACCCCAGTCCTTCTTCTTTCTTCTTTCTTCTTTATTCAGATCATGCAACCTTCAAGAACAAGAGTTCCATTTTTCGAAACAGAAGCAATCATCATGAAGCAGAGGAAGAAGAGTAGTAATCTCTCAGTCTTCGTAATCATCGTCACATCCCTTTTCCTCTTGGCGATCTTCATGTACAATGACAACCTCAAATCCTCCATCGCTGACTTCTCTTTCTCAGCCTCCATGAAGCTAAAGAATTTTCAAGAATCGATCAAGAACGTGCCACTGGAGGAGTGCGATCTCTTCACGGGAGAATGGGTTTTCGACAACAAGACACATCCATTGTATAAAGAGGAAGAGTGTGAGTTCTTGACGGAACAAGTGACCTGCTTAAGAAACGGTAGGAAAGATTCACTGTATCAGAACTGGAGATGGCAACCTAGAGACTGTTCTTTACCAAAGTAAAATCTTACTTGTTTCAAGATGCTCTGTTTGATTGATTTTGCTGGTTTGATCGATTTGGTTTTCTAATAATTTTTGGTTTGATTGAAGATTCGAAGCAGAAGTGTTACTAGAGAAGCTGAGGAACAAGAGATTGATGTTTGTCGGTGACTCCCTGAACCGGAACCAATGGGAATCAATGGTTTGTTTGGTTCAATCAGTGATTCCTCCAGGTAGAAAGAGCTTAAACCGGACCGGTTCTCTCACTGTTTTCCAAATCCAGGTAATCCTAATTAATACGCTTGCGTGACACTGACACTAATGACATTATTTTACAATTCCTTACTTGTTTGGGATACGCAAAACTGAATCTTTTTATATAAAAAATAAATAGGAATATAACGCAACGGTGGAGTTTTATTGGGCGCCATTTTTGGTGGAATCGAATTCAGACGATCCGAAAATGCACAGTGTAATCGACCGAGTAATAATGCCCGAGTCCATCGACAAGCATGGAGTCAACTGGAAAGGCGTTGACTTTCTTGTCTTCAATAGTTACATTTGGTGGATGAACACTTTCTCCATCAAAGTCCTGTAAGTAGTAGTAGTATACACTAAATAATACAACTCACGCTCACTCTTAATACTAATGAATGGCTGAGGACTGAAGATTGTGGTGATGAAAACAGACGTGGATCGTTCGATGATGGGGACACAGAGTATGATGAGATCAAACGGCCAATAGCGTACGAGAGGATGTTGAGGACATTGGGGAATTGGGTGGACCATAACATTGATCCTTTAAGTACAACTGTTTTCTTCATGAGCATGTCTCCTCTTCATATCAAGTAATTAATTTCTCCCATCCATAATAATCTATTTTTTTGTTTAATGTTTTGTAGTAATTGATTGTTGTTCTGTAAATTCTTTTAGGAGCTTAGATTGGGGTAATCCTGACGGTATAATGTGTGCTTTAGAGACAACACCGATCTCAAACATGTCTTTCAACGTTAAGCCGGACTATATGCAGTTTTCGGCTGTGGGGACGGATTACAGACTGTTTTCGGCTGTGGAAAACGTCACGCAGTCTCTCAAAGTTCCTATTCATTTCCTCAACATCACTGCATTGTCCGAGTATCGTAAAGATGCACATACTACGGTTTATACGATCAAGCAAGGCAAATTGCTGACGCGGGATCAGCAAGCCGATCCAGCCAAATTTGCTGATTGCATCCATTGGTGCTTACCGGGCCTCCCCGATACTTGGAATGAGTTTCTTTATACACACATTGTTTCTCAAAGATGATATTATTTGGATGCTTTCATCCTTTTTCTGGTATAGGACAAAAATCTATAGAGTTTGAAGTTGGAGCCAAGTATGCCATAGAATTATTTGTGAACTAGGCTAAATTTTTTTGTTGAATAAAGTGTACATTATACACAGGGAAACATAAATATTATAATTACAATAAATGACAAGATTAGTAGGTGTGTTTTATCAGCTCCATGATTGTATAATATGTTGAATTAGTTGAAGTTACAGACTTTTTGATAAACCAACATTCATAGTTGTCATACCATTTTTCTCATACATCCCGAGATTTATTGGATTCGTAACTGATGAGGTACTCGTCTAAAATCGGGCTTCAAGAATAGGGCCATATAACTTTTGTGTTTGTCAGGCCATGGTTTGGAATGGTTTGGTATTTTTTCTGTTTGGAATTGTTTGGAATGGTTTGGTATTCCATAATGGCTTTGTGGAATGGTTTGGTATTTTTTTTGTCAGGCCACATATGGACTTCGGTGAAGTGTTTTTTTTTTTTTTAATAAATAAAACAGTTAATGTCAATGGCATAACAATGTAAATAAGTGTTCAAACTAAGGTTTTTATTAAAACTGCTGCAATAATGCTGCTGCAATAATGTTTAGATAGATGTTGAATTAGTTGAAGTTACAGACTTTTTGATAAACCAACTACGACCGAACATTCATAGTTGTCATACCATTTTTCTCATACATCCCGAAATTGAACCCAACAAGATGAAACAAAGTGATGGCAGAGGAAGGACTGTTAACCTTTCTCTGCTATACATTGCAGTCATTCTTCTTCCCATGTTCCTTCTTGGATGCTATCTGTACAACGCGAAGCAGCTGAGGATTGGCCAGCTTCAGGAATTCGAGACACATAACCTACAAGAACCCATCAGTCCAGCACAACCAAGCAAAGAAGATAATGACAAGAAGATCAGTCTGGTGCCATTAGACGTATGTGATGTTTTCACGGGAAAATGGGTTCCTGATAACGTCACACATCCTTTATACAAAGAAGATGAATGTGAGTTTCTCGCAGAATGGGTGGCATGTACAAGAAACGGGAGGCCAGACTCTAAGTACCAGAAATGGAGATGGCAACCTCGAGATTGCTCTTTGCCGAGGTCAGTTCCAGATTTCTGAGAACAAGATAAGCAACATGAGTAACACTTTCTTCTTCTCTCAAAACACTTTCTTTTCGGTCATAGGTTCGATGGAAAGCTGCTACTAGAGAAACTCAGGGGAAAGAAACTGATGTTCGTTGGTGATTCGATACATCATAATCAGTGGCAATCCATGGTTTGCATGGTCCAATCCGTGGTTCCCTCAGGCAAAAAGACCTTAAAACACACAGCACAAATGTCCATCTTCACCATAGAGGTCTTAAAGACTATATCTTATATGCAAAAAAAAAGGTAATAATCCAAGAAGCAAAAGAACTCCAAGTCTTACCTTCTCGACTAATTTTGAATGTGTAGGAGTACAATACAACCATAGCCTTCTACTGGTCACCTTTCCTAGTCGAATCAAATGCTGATCCTCCAGACAAGAGAGACGGGAAGACCGATCCAGTAATCATGCCGCAATCAATCTCGAAGCACGGTGAGAACTGGAAAGACGCAGACTACCTTGTATTCAATACATACATATGGTGGACCAGACATTCCAAGATCAAAACTCTGTAAGTGATAGATAGTCTCTCTACCAAGTTCCAAACTCCAATTTTGCCAATCTTGATAAAGTTTTCTACTTTGATGCTTGAAGAAAACAAGGATCTTTCAGCAACGAGGACTCAAAAGACTATGAAGAAATCGGAATCTATATAGCATACAAACAAGTATTATCAACATGGACAAACTGGGTAGAACAAAACATTAACCCAAATCAAACATCTATCTTCTTCAGCAGCATGTCACCAACTCATATCAGGTACTAAAGGATCAAAACCCACCCACAGAACAAAAAAAATCAAAACTTCGCAAAGACTAATTCTTTTCTATTGCAAACAGGAGTTCAGATTGGGGATTTAATGAAGGAAGCAAATGTGAAAGAGAAACAGAACCAATACTAAACATGTCAAGACCAATAGATGTTGGAACAAATCGAAGACTATACGAAATCGCAGTGAATGTGACGAAATCAACAACAGTGCCGATACATTTCCTCAACATAACGACGATGTCAGAGTACAGAAAAGATGGGCATACCTCATTCTACGGTTCTCGAGCTGGGAAGCTCATAACACCTGAGCAGAGATTGGATCCGAGAACTTTTGCCGATTGTTATCATTGGTGTCTTCCGGGATTACCTGATACATGGAATGAGTTACTCTCTCTGTATATTATCTACAAAAGTTAATATGTTTTCTATTGAATTTGCAAGAATTGAAAAGTCCAAACACTTGAGCTAACAATGATGAGTTACCCGAAAAGACGAGAGCACGACGGCGAAGAGCAGAGGTAACTCTCCGAGCCGGTTAGTTAATAACCATTTCTCCAATAATATACCGGGAATAACCGGTTTAGCCGACAAAGACTACTGCTGAACCGGTCGAGTCTTTACCAAATCTTGTACCAATGTCCTTTTTCTCGTACTACTTGGTCAGCAGACGTTATTAGACAGTCAAAATTGTGGTTAGGTGCATTTAATATAATACCAAATTATAGAAACCGTTATGTATGATTTCTTCTATAACGCACTAAACCACTTTAGGAAAACAAAATTGAACGTTTCTTTAATTTATCTTGGCTATAACAAGAAGAAAACAGTTTGTGAGAATATTCCTGATCCATTTAATAGCATTGAAATAGCAGTTATATTCCACATTATTCCAATGCATACGGTCGCCACACTATGATATTTCGAAGATATTGTCTATTTTCTCCTAAGTTAATTAAATTAGCTCAGCTTCTTGTTTTCACCTCACCTCAACTTCACTAATACAGTATCTTGATTTACTCGAGTATCCCACAATCTTTAACTTCTTATTAAAGGCAAGACTAACACATGGTTACATGGAAACAAACAAACACTTACGTAGACGAAGATTCACATGGTCATCATCATCCCGTTAACTAAACAAGGACTTACGTACGACATGAAGAAACTAAACACAACCTATAACTACTTCATGAAAAGACTTTAAACCGGATTCTTTCAATATTACATCCGTGGGAAGGAAGTTTCGATTTAAATATTAGGTCTTGGTCCTGAATTTGGATTCGTCTATCTCGACTCCTTCATCCTCAGCGTTTTCACCACCAGGCTTGTCTCCAGTGCTAAGACCGCCTTTGCGCCCCATCTCTTGATATCCTTCGGTTCCTAACTGTTCCTTTCGAGTTTGTCCTCCTCGGCTCCTCCCTTCATATATTAGTAAGATTCCACAAACATTTAATACCATTACTATTATAATTTATATACACACGCAGCAACTATTTTGAAATGGTAGAGAGAAAGAGAAAGACCTTCCGCGAGATGTTGTTGAGCTTCTAAGCTTTTGCCTCCAGTGCCACCTGGTACGACAGTCTCTCCCTTCTTCGCCCTCTCGTCCAGCTGCTTCTTCTCCTGTTGAGATGCCATTGCACTATACTTTCTTACAACACAAAGTTTATTTAAACGCTATGTATAGATAAACCAAACCAAATTCACAAAAGACTTTGATGATGATACGAAGAAGGCTGGAGGAGCTTGCTCTTTATATATGGTTTCGATTTTGATTTCGGACGTCGTTTTGCTTGTGTTGCAGCGTGGATGTTCGACGTGGTGAATCAGGGACAATCGGTACGTCATACGTGTGCTCTTCTTTGCTGGTGACATGCCACGAGTCCGTATTTATTAGCTGACGTATACTTTGAACGTGGTAATGCCGTGCTTCTTCGCCGCGTGGCCTATAACTATACCCCCGATGTTATTTTATGTGTTGCCTTGTACACAGTCATAAATTCTTTCAATCATATGTATGAAAGTAAATATGAGCACCTGCAGAGGAACTTTATAACCTTGAAACTTTATAACGTTGACGCATAAGGACAATGTATGGGTTTCATGATTGGTATGCTAAGGAGTCGTTCATTGAATTTGTGTGCCTTGTGGTTAGGTGTATAAAAGTTGCTGGTCAAAACTCGTTGACGTTAAATGGTCCATAGATCAGGTTCAGACAAGAAAAAGTATATATCATTGTATACGTTCAATCGAGTTTAATCAAACCCAAATGAAAATGTTCCTTCTCGAATCGAAGTATTATTTAAATTTGAATGCGAATGGTACGTCTTATATTTGAATAAATAGAGAACCAACATTTTCTTGTCAACTTAATTAAAAAGGTTCGCATATTTTATCTCTCTTTTTTTTTTAATTATATCTTTGATTTGTAACACAATATTCCGTTGGGTCATTTTTGTACACCGAAGCAAATTTTGCATTAGTATAACATATTATAAAATTATCAATATCAATGATATATTAATAATTATATCAGTATACTAAAGGTTTATTTTCACATTAGATCACAGTGGTGCTATTTATCAAGAAGACTTTGTTTGTGAACATACTATCTTAAAATTGTCATGTGGTCATAAGTATGATGTAGAATGTCTTGTTAGATAGTTCCAAAAAAACCACGAATGTCCATGTTGTCGTTACGAGTTACCTTGTTTTACCAAAAAAAAATATGAATAAATAATGAGTTTTCACGTGACATCTCGCGGGTTCAATTCTTAATTAATAATTAATTACAAGTTTCAAAAATAAATTCACAAAGCATATTTTGCATTAGTGTAAAACATACTATAAAAGTATCAATATCAACGGTCATATTATGTTATATCAGTATACCAACAGTCGTATAAATGGATATATAGCTATTCCTCGAAAGGCATATATGTTTCGACTCTTCGAGTCTATTGACTCGCATTCACAAACATAGAACCATCAAATCAAATCAAACATTTTGGAACCATTAGTTTACTTATTCATATTAAGAGTTGAATCAGTATCCATATATAGACTAACATTGACCACATTATTGCAAGGTAGATGGTTTGTACTTTGAATTCAATTCAGTAATGAATGCAAATAATATCTCTAAATGTACAAGAATCTAATAAATTTTGATCAAAATTTGGTATGAAGACCAGAAATGACTTAGCTAGTTTCCTAATTCTTAGATCTTCGAAATATTTTACTTTGACTGTAATATTAATTCAAATAAATGAATAAAATCAGTAATGATCACACAAATTATATTCAATGGACGGTACACAAGGAGATAGTTCACCAACACCAATTAAAGTAGAAAATATTCACGTGATCACCGAGTCCAACCTTTTGTATTCAAAATGTACACAAATCTCGTTATGGCAATTTAATAAAAGCCAAAGAAAATGATAGAGAGATGAATGGTTAATTTGGGCACCGACGTGAATTTGACTAAAAATTACGAGAGAGAGAGAGACTTGGTCACGAAGGTGTTAATTAGCATGCAAGAGAGAGAAACAATCTTCGTTGACCATTGACCAAAAAACTTTTAGTCATATATAAAAATCCAACCAAACCGCCCACTATTATTCCCCTATTCACAAGGTCTTTGCTTCCCTCAGACGTAAACAACAAGAAATTATAAAAGACCAAAACACAAGAACTATCAAAAAATACTTATACATAAAAAAAATAAAAATTTATTAACAACCCTATTCGGATATATATGCAACTCTCTAAGAATCCGATCAAACAAACGAGAAACGGAGAGAAGAAACACACCGTCGACGATTTCAAGATGAAGAGATCTGTGATGATCATGGCTCCGGAGTCTCCTGTGTTCTTCCCACCTCCGCTTGTTTTCTCTCCGACTTCGGTTAAAACGCCGTCGTCTTCTCCTCGTTCAACACCACCGAAGCTGACGATGGTTGCTTGTCCTCCAAGGAAGCCTAGGGAGACGAACAGTACTGATTCGGGTTCGGGTCCTGAAACGGTGCTGAAAAGGAAACGGCCGCCGATGCTTGACTTAACGGCGGCTCCTGCGGTTACGTCATGGTGCAGTACAACGAGAGAGACGCCGGAGAGAGGTGTGGAGGTTGTTGAAGCTGAGGAAGATGGATACTACTCTATTTATTGTAAGAGAGGAAGACGCGGACCAATGGAAGATCGGTATGTTGCGGCGGTTGATCAAGACGACGAGGACGGAGCAAGTAGAAACGCTTTCTTTGGGGTATTTGATGGTCACGGCGGATCCAAGGCGGCGGAATTCGCGGCGATGCATCTAGGGAACAATATAAAGGCGGCTATGGCAGCAGCGAGATCAGGAGAAGAAGGTTGCTCGATGGAGAGAGCTATAAAGGAAGGTTATATCAAGACGGATGAGGAATTCTTGAAAGAAGGATCGAGAGGCGGGGCATGTTGTGTAACGGCTCTGATATCGAAAGGCGAGCTCTTGGTTTCGAATGCAGGAGACTGCCGGGCTGTTATGAGTCGTGGTGGAACCGCCGAAGCTCTCACTTCCGATCACAATCCTTCTCAAGCAAATGAGCTCAAACGGATTGAAGCATTGGTGAGTTTTTATCATTGTGCATTTTGCATGATTTGGTTAGTGCTTAACATAGCATAATTGTGGAACTTCATCAAATATATATGTGTGTATTTCCATTAAATTCCTGGAATCACAAAATGTATGACCGGAAACGTGAATCCACAAATGATGTTTTAGTTTCGGTTTGGTTTGATTGGGTCTGGTTTACTTACTTTTGTGTGTGTGTGTAGGGTGGTTATGTTGACTGCTGCAACGGTGTTTGGAGAATTCAAGGGACATTAGCAGTCTCACGAGGAATTGGAGACCGGTATCTCAAAGAGTGGGTAATAGCCGAACCGGAAACTAGAACATTACAGATTAAACCGGAATTGGAGTTCTTGATCTTAGCATCTGATGGCCTGTGGGACAAGGTAAGCATAACCAGAAATGCATGTTTTGAAATTGATTTATCTCTTGTTGGTCTATGGAGTGAAGTATGTTAAAGCCTTTTTTTGTTTGGAGCGTTATAGGTAACGAACCAAGAGGCGGTCGATGTGGTTCGACTGTATTGCGTAGGCGTAGAGAATCCAAAGACACTTTCGGCGTGTAAGAAACTAGCCGAACTATCGTTTAAGAGAGGCTCTTTGGATGATATAAGTCTAATCATAATCCAGCTACAACACTTTCTTCCTTGATTCATTAACATATACTAGTAATTTAGCTAAATTTGATTAGTTTCATAATTAGGTTTTTAAGATATTTGATAATTTTGTTCTATATTTTGTAAATACAGGTTTCAAACATAATTAATTTATTATTAATATTCTTGGGGATATCAAGCTCCAAAATATTTTTGGTATACGATATGAATTATAATACATGAAATTGCACGATCTAATCAATTCTCATCCTTTTTTTTTTTCTTTCTCAACTTTTTGTTTTAAATGTAATTGGAGAACCATAAAATTTGTAATTCTACTATTATGAGTAGAACCACCAAATATGTATATGGTCGATAAACACACGTAGACATAACTCTCACAACCAACATCTACGTATACGCCGTCGCTTATTTTACATATTGCAACCCACCTTTCTTGAATAAAACAACTCAACCATAATAGCTACTTAGTAACCAAGCCTACCTGAGTTTTTGATTCTAAGACCGATATACACTTTAAATGCAAACAACTCAGTATCTTTGAACAACTCAGAATAATGAACTAGATCTTTAACACTAAGCACTGATAATTCAATCAACATAAGTAACAAGGATAAATTGTGAATCGTGAGAATGCGTAAAATATGTTTTCATGATCATACCATAGAAATATCTTACAACTCGGCATGCTTTTTGTAAAAAAATGTACCGAAGAAACGAAAATTGGATGTAGACAAATCTTGCAAGATCCTAGACAAAAACATTAATCACATTAAAAACAAAATTGTGTTTTATTTACAAGATTCACATGAAAATCATCCAAAAATCATCTCATGTTGAAATCTATCACTAATAAATTCGGAAATATTCCAAAGCATACATAGTATATTTTTTTCCAAAGTTTTGTTATTCTTTTTGTGTCAATTTTCGATAAAATTACTCAAAAGCTTAAGACAAGAAATAAATAATTTAAATCACTAGTTTTTGATCTGCGTTTGATCGGCTTCTTTGAAACAGATTCTGCGTTCTAGAAACTTCATAATCTAAATTGTTACAAGAAACTACTAAAAGACCTTTTTTGTAGTGGGTAAAAATAATATTATGGAGTACATGTTAATTTAGTCACACCTATTTACGTTCCATTGTGTGTAAAAAGAGAAAAAAAAAGAAAAAAATCCTTTTTTTTGGTCTAATACATCATACATAACCAAAACGAAAAGAAAAAGAAATGTGTGTCAAAGAAGAACAAATATAAAGCTTAACATAAGTTTGCTCTAATAATGTGGGAAAACTTAGCCAAGACAGAGTAAATATATTAGTATCGTAATCAAATTAATTTAAAGATTGTTTTATTTTTTGCGATAAACTGAGTGTTCTTGATCTCAGCAAATCACCGCGTCTAAAAACATTGGAAATAGAGAGCAAGGGTTGGCTAGAGTATTCCAGAGTAAGGTTGGAACCTTATATATTATCCTCTGTTGTATATAGATTTGTTTCTCTTCTCTTATTTCATTATTTACAACAAGACACACTTTACACTTATATATTTTAGGTTTACAAGGGAGACTAAACCTAACACAAAATATCAAATCTGTTTTACTGTTCATACGTTAGCACTGTTCAGTGTTCACCAAACTTCACAAGATTTCAGCCAGAAAAAAAAAAAAAAAAAAACAAACTAATCTCTCTTATTCTACTCCATACATTTTCGTCACTATTCATCATCCTCTTAATTTTCATCATTCTCAATTCAGCTACAACACTTTCTTCCATGATTCCTTAATAACATATACTACTAGCTACTAGCTAGTATATACTGTATATAGTTAGCTTAACTTAAAATTAATTTCATAATTAGGTCTTAATATATTAATAATTTTGTTCTGTATTTTTGTTAATAGTGGTTTTGAACATAATTACTTTATTATCACTGTTCTCATGAAGAATATATTCAAGCTTCCAACATATTTTTGGCTAACAATGTGAATAATATAGCATACATGAAATTGCACAATATAACTATTTTGACGTTTTGAGACAAAGTTAATCTATCTGTCCCGGATCTTCATTAATTTCAGTGTACAATTGAGTAACGTTATACCAGTGTGACACAAATGAGAAGATGCTCAAATAACTAGTGTAGTTGCCATTACTTAATTTGTATTTTACTGTCTTAGTCGTATCTAAGTGCTAGCTAGTTTACTTGTAGCGATAAACGCAATTAAAATAAAATCAAAATTTAAGTGCTACTTATTTTGATTTGACAAACTATATACAGTATAACCTCTATAAATTAATACTCGATAAATTAATACCTCGATAAATCAATAATTTTTTTCGGTCCCAAATTAGTTTTTCGGTTCAATTAGTATATCGATAAATTAATAATCACGATAAATTAATAAAAATTTTAAAAATACATAGGTCCCAACATTATTAATTTATAGAGGTTTTACTGTATATGAAAACCACTTAGTTGGTCCTTGTTTTTCAAATGTATTTGTTCTATTCGAAATCAAACACGGAACGCCCAATGGGGCGTGAGTTGACCAGCGAGGCTTCCAATACTGTTTGATCCAATCTACTCTCGTAGAAAGGGGTCAAAACATCACAGAGGACCAATCTACGCTCACTGATGTCTCTTCTAACTATGGCTCTGCGTTCAACATTCTCTGTAATCCCCAAATGGCCAAGCGGAAAGTTATGTAGAAAACTGCGCTCTTGGCGTTGAGTCTCGCATTTAGCGGCTCCACATCTTCATTACTAGTTTCTACCGCCACTTTCACAATCATCAACTTGGACAGCTTGCTCTGCACCAAGTGTTAGATTTAGTTGGTTATTTACTAATATCCATGGGTACATATACAATTTAATATAAAAAAAAAAGAGAAGAAGTCCAAAATATACTTACGGCTGTGAGAAGCCTATCCTTTGAACAAAGTACAAGTTCCAAATATAGGCGAATCCAATCAATGCCTAGCAACTCTGATTCCTCAGCCTGCAAAAGCAACAGAAACATATCAATCACAGTAGAAAAAACTAGAGCATGCGAAGAAAATGTACAGAATCAAATGTTGTTGTATCTTACAATGTAAAACCGCCTTGTATCGTAGAAAGCAGCCTCTGAGGGCCACAGAGACAATCCATCATTACCGTGTAACTCGTGAAGCAGTCTGTCGGCCTCTCGGTCATCTCGAAGCGGGATGTTGGAGGAGCTTCCTAAGATGATTAATCAGGAATCATTAATTAGCAAGGCACAACCACAAAAAACTCGAACAAAGCACGAAAATTCAAAGTTATACCTTTAGGTCTAACAAGAGAGATAATCACATTCAACCGGTTCAACAAATTTTCTTCAACTTTCTCCTGGAAAGTTAGTACTGAACCGGTAGTTGGATCGGAAGCTGTCAACGTGATGTACTAGGAGGACAAACAGTTCATAAGCATATTGAATTTGATCAATTCATGCAACTGAAAGTTTGTCCCCTGCCACCCACAGAACAAACAACAAAGAAATTGAAATTCATCATCAAAGCATATACCAGGAAATATATATATACTAGCAGTTGATCCGCGCTCCGCGCGGGAGATTTATAATTTTGTTTGGTTGATTTTTTATTCATATTGTGATATTTTTTTATTTTTTTAATTGATTTTCAAAAATATTATAATTATTTTCTCTTTAATTATTATCTTTCAATACTCAAATTTGGATTAAAAGCATTTGATTCAATTTATGAAATATCATTTTTTTCTTTTTGATCATGTTATAAACTAATATTTCACTTTCATTTTATTTTTCCTCTTTATAATTTTATATATACAATTACACATATGTTGTTTTAGTCTAGCATAAATTTAAATTTTACTTCCATTATAAAATTCAGTAACATATTTAAAATATTAAATTATGATCAATTTAAAATGAAAGTTGAATTATATTATTACCACTAATAAAAAATTAAAGTATTGTTTTTCTTATTTTAACATTTCATTTTTTTACATAATTTATTTTATTTATATAAACTTTCTATTAATTAAATAAGTAACATAAATATGCACTAAATGAATGTTTTAAATTTATTTTAATGTTTAAACAAAAATGTGGCTTAGGTGGATGCTTAGGTGGCATCATGAGAATAGAGAAAAAGCTAACTTTATATATATAGATATATATATATAGAGGAAATATATATTTACTTTCAACATATTGTAATTATGAAGCCCTAACTTAGCGTAGAGGACGACCTTATACTGAAACGTATAGCCAGTTTGACAGTTGACAACCTTAAGTCCAGCGGTCCCTTCTGGTGCACTTTATACCCTCTAAATCGAACCCCTAATTAAAAACCCATGGTGAAATAAATCAATAAATAACAGACCCTGAAGCGACTTCCTTTAGAAGCAACGTCCGTGTACATGCAAGTAGATCTAGGGTATTGTAAAGAAGAAAGTAAGAATTACCTCGGATTCACTGACTTGACGCCAGTACTCCCTCTGCCCACGGCCAAACGCCTCCGCATCTTCAATCCAAGACGTCATGTTTTTCTCTTCCTTGCGGTTGTTTTAGGGCAATGCTTTTTTTTTTTTATAGGATTTAGGCTTATCTTAATACTAATATAAGATATATGACGGTCAATGAGAGAAAAGCCATTCAATCAAAATATGCCCAAATTTTAGCATAATATAAATGGAAATATAACTTTCCCAAAAAGAAATATTTGGAAATTTGGCATAAATATAATCATCTTAATGGGATTTCGAAAACCATCTAATATTGGGACAAACGCCCTAGGTTAGGAGAAAAAAATTGCAAAATTATCAGTTGATAGCTTAACGATGGTGGACAAAGTTAGAAACGGAGATCGCGCCACCGCCTTCTCTGTGACTGTAAGAGTAGTCCCTAGCCATTATATTGCTCACCACCGCCGCGAAATCAAACGAGCAAGAGTTTTAAGCGAAGATTTAGACTCAGTCAGTTCTTTGCCTAGTGAGATCCTCCAAGTTATCCGCTCATTCGTTTCGACCAAATTCGCAATCAGAACTTCCGTCTAGTCCAGAAGATGGAGACATGGAAACCCAATCAATCAAAGTAAGCCCAAGAAGAATTGTATTTGGTTTTGTAATGTTTAGAACCCATTAATATTTTGAGGAAACTTGTAAGTTACTCAAATACGCACCTAGGTTAGGGCATAAATTGCAAAATTATCAACTGATCACTTAACGATGGCGGACAAAGTCGGAAACGGAGACCGTGGCACCGCCTCTATCCATTAGTGTGACACAAATGAGAAGATGCTCAAATAACTAGTATACTTGCCATTACTTAATTTGTATTTTACTGTCTTAGTCATATCTAAGTGCTAGTTATTTGTAGATAAACGCAATTTAAAAAAAAGTGAAATTTAAGTGCTACTTACATTGATTTGAAAAACTATATAAGAAAACCATCTAAGCTGGTCTTTATTTTTCAAATAATTTTTTTCTCTATAAAATTAAACACAAAACGCCGATTGGGATGTTAGTTGACCAACGAGAATTTCAATATTGTTTGATGAAATTGTTTCTTGCTGTAAGGGGTCAAAACATCAAAGAGGATCAAGTTTCTTCTACGCTCACTGATGGCTCTGCGTTCAACATGCTCTCTAGTTCCCCAAATGGCCAAGCGGAAAGTTATGTAAAAAATTGCGCTCTTGGCGTAATTAGGTCTTAATATATTGATAATTTTATTCAGTATTTTTGTAAATGATAGAATAAATAATAGACAAAATATAATGATCCAAATCCCATGGTGCATGGTAGAATCTAAGCTTTTGTAATGTTCCTTTTAAAGTTTTTTTTTTAATAAAATATGAGTTTTTTTTAGCACTCTAAAAAAACACACTATAATCAGCATAAGTGAAACACTATAAAAAGGGTCAATTGCATCACTTAAAAATTGTATCATAAACTGAAAATGATGTTAGTTTGAATTAATTATTAAACATTGATACAAAAATTGTAATTTAATATCAATTACGATAATTGATACCGTTATTGATTTGTGTGGCATCAATTCATTTAATCTCATGCAATCTGTATCCTTTAATATCACCTTTTAAAGAATGATAGAAATATTGAATTTATATCACTTACATAGCTGATTTATCTACTAATTTAAATTAACATCACATAAAAATGATACAAAAATTGACATCAATAAAAAAGCGTTGTAAATGAAATTTATGTAAAACTAATTTTGTGATTTAACTTTGAATGCTAAAACATAAGTAACTATAAATTAAAATTCATGTTTTTTATTTGATTTGTATCTTTTTAAAAATTTGACCAATATAAACGAAAAAAAGATCTATTTTTATTTATGTATTGATAACATAGTTATGAGAAAGTAATAAAGTCATTAAGAATTCCGATATTTTTTTTTCTTTTATTGTATATGATTTTGAGTAAATCACATAGTTATTTCTATATAAAGATGGAGAAATGATATCTTGTACAAGTGTAAATTGTAAAATATGAGAATGGGAGAAATATTTTCTCATCGTATGAAAGACCTTAAAACTCATCAACGAAATACCTTTACAAAGTGTATATAATGTTTGACTAATCAAGAGATAAGGGGCAAAGGTGTAATTTAGTGATAGTTTGGGGTGTTTTCTACAATATTCAGAAACACGATTTGAAGATGGGAACTAAAATATAAAAAAGTATCGGAATTGTAACATTTTTGGCTCAGCGATCTGCTTCCATGGGGATCTGCTTCATTCTCTATACACTTCTCACGATCCTCTTCGCCGTATCCCTGAGTTTATCTCTCTCCGTGATCAATGCAAGAAAGAGCAGGAAACGTGCGGTGGGGTTCTTCCATCCGTACACGAACGACGGTGGCGGCGGCGAGAGAGTGCTCTGGTGTGCAGTCAAAGCCATCCAAGAGGAGATTCCCGATCTTGACTGTGTCATCTTCACCGGAGATCATGACTCTTCTTCTGATAGCTTAGCTCGCCGCGCCGTTGATCGATTCGGTGTTCACCTTCAATCTCCTCCTAAGGTCCGATCACTCTCATCTCTTTCACGACTTAATTCACAGCAACTTCAGTTCAAATTTGAATTGTTTCCATTAACATAGAGGTTGATCCGTTTTGGGGGCAAGTTTCAATTTTGCATATTGGATTAGTTTTGATACAATTGTATTTGTTTTGTGCTTTTTGTTGTTGATGTTGTGGCGGCTCAGGTGATTCATCTAAACAAAAGGAAATGGATCGAAGAGAGGACTTACCCACATTTCACAATGATAGGTCAGAGTCTTGGTTCGGTTTACTTAGCGTGGGAAGCGTTACGCAAGTTCACTCCTTTGTATTTCCTTGATACTAGTGGATACGCTTTCACATATCCTCTTGCTCGGATCTTTGGTTGTAAAGTTGTTTGCTATACTCATTATCCAACTATTAGTTTGGATATGATTTCTCGTGTTCGTCAGAGGAACTCTATGTATAACAACGACGCTTCCATTGCTAAGAGGTTTTGATTATCTCCTTACTTGTTTGGTGTTATTCAAATTTGAAAATTTTAGTGTAATTCCTGGTGGCTTATGATATTTGTTGCCTTTTGTTGTTTTTTGTAGCAATTGGTTATCTACTTGCAAATTAGTCTATTACAGAGCTTTTAGCTGGATGTATGGGATGGTTGGCGCTTGCACTCATCTAGCTATGGTCAACTCTTCGTGGACGAAGTCCCATATCGAAGTGCTTTGGAGAATTCCAGAGCGGATTAGACGGGTCTACCCACCTTGTGATACTTCCGGACTTCAGGTGATAAACCTTTAGACAGTTCGAATCTTATGATTTTTATCTGTCTTCTGTAAAACTCAGTATTTGCTGACATCTTGTGCTTCATGCAGGCGTTTCCTCTCGAACGATCATCTGATCCTCCTAAATTCATATCCGTAGCTCAATTTCGTCCTGAGAAGGTGAGGGATCCAGTATTTGACTTATAAGAATAGGGTACTGCTGGTTTATGGTTCACATTGCAAAGCTCAAAAGAGTCTTCCAGCTTACTCAATTACAGTCCTGTACCAGGCTCATATGCTTCAGCTTGAGGCCTTTTCACTAGCCTTGGAGAAATTAGATGCAGACGTCCCTCGACCCAAGCTCCAATTTGTGGGAAGTTGTAGAAACAATTCAGATGAAGAACGTCTACAAAAATTGAAAGACAGAGCAGTTGAACTAAAAGTGGATGAAGACGTGGAATTCTATAAAAATGCCATGTATAGGTATCTGCTCAAATCTCATTACAGGCATTCTCTGTTCAAATTTAGCGTCTTGCAAAAACACATAGCTTCCATGATTCTTAGTTGTTGGCTTCTGGTTGTAGTGAATTAGTGGAGCTACTAGGAAATGCAGTTGCAGGAATGCATGGGATGATAGATGAACACTTTGGGATTAGCGTTGTTGAGTACATGGCTGCTGGTGCGATCCCAATAGGTCAGACTTAAAGCCTTGTATATGTGATTTTATCTCAAAAAGTTGAGTTACTCTGGCAGTTTCCTCTAATGGCTCCTCTGTTTTATAATTCTGGTGCAGCTCACAACTCAGCTGGACCCAAGATGGACATTGTGTTGGAAGAAGACGGACAAAGAACCGGGTTTCTTGCTGAGACTGTGGAGGAATACGCCGAAGCAATCATTGAGATTGTGAAGATGAATGAAACAGAGAGGCTTAAGATGGCTGAATCTGCTAGAAAACGAGCGACAAGGTTCTCTGAACAACGGTTTTGTGAGGACTTCAAAACAGCAATTCGACCCGTTTTCACTGATGGTGTCAAATGACAATTTACAACTCTCAAATTCTTACTTATTGCACTGCTTTAAAATGCACAAGACAAAGCTAGATTATACCTTCATATCCTCTTAGTTTTGGTTTCTGGTTAAAATTCTGACGTAGAAGTTGTAAGAAACAATTTGGTCCAAAGAAAAGAAGACAGTAGTCTTAAGAAACGACCAAGGTGGTCTTGCCATCAATACCTCTACTTATGTGTGTAATACTAAGATTTGTAGCAGATAACATTTGGAATAGAGCAAGGAATCACAAACACAGTTATAATTATAAATAGATAGTACGTAGTTTATACATAGATTAATAGATAATCCAAAAAGCATTATAGGTTTCGATCTTGATTGCTGTAAGCTTGAGAAATATTCACCTCTTTCATACATTATTAAACACATTTCCTCCATCTTTCGACGACGAACAAAACCATCGTCGGCGTGCTTACAGTAAGAACAAACTGATTCTACTAGTAGTAGTGGTCTTTTGCTTCTATCATGTTCATCATAGAAAAGTAGTCATTTCATCATGCAAAGTCGTTCAGAAATCACTCAATAGGTCTTCTTCCTTGTCATGCTAAAATATTAATTTCCTTTTATATCTTTTTTTTTTTTTTTGGGTTTCATTTTTTCTTTTGATACCTCATCCAGTCATCCTGATTTGAACATATTCAAATTTATTGGTCGCCTGAAAAATTTAATGTGATGGTTAAGAACGTAAATTATAATGCTCTTCTCAGTACTGATTTTCACAATTGCTTCTTTTTGATTATATATGTTTTTCCTTTTTAATGTTTTCCAAATGATTGTTTTTGGTCACGCCGGTGATTAATGGTCGATCGTGGTCTTTGTGACATATAAAAACTTTGCTCAAATATTTTGTTTCTATTTTCTAGTCCTTTATATGTACAGTAAAACCTCTATAAATTAATACTCGATAAATTAATAATCTCTATAAATTAATAAATTTCTTTGGTCCCAAGTTGGAACCAGTGTAATTTTAGACATATTTCGATAAATTAATAAGATAATATTCTTTTTGAAAATCCTTTGTAAATATATGGTCTCAATAATATTATAAATTAATAATTAGGTAAAATTTTCAAAATATATGTATATATAGACATATTAGTTTTTGTTAGAGTTTATTTCTAATATTTTACTATGTCAAAAATTGTTAGCATTCTCTTTCAAGACATAATAATTATTATTTTTTTGTAATTGATTATATAAATACTAATTATCATGATTAAATTTCATTTTTAAATATTTTTCTGAAAAAAACTTTCAAATTAGGAAAATTTCTCTATATCGATAAATTAATACCTCTATAAATTAATAGATTTTCATGGTCCCAACATTATTAATTTATAGAGGTTTTACTGTATCTCTTTCGCTTTTTGCAAATAGTAGTCCTCCTGCCAAGTGCCAACTATATTTGTTCTACTTTAATATCAAAATATTCCACTAAAAAATAGATTTTCTTAAACAGGTCACAAAAGAAAAATTATATATATATAGTAACAAACAGTGTCTGCCCAAAACATTTTTTATTATAATATTTTGAAAGAACTATTCGTTTCTAACTATTTTCCTATATCATTCTTTCTTTGTTTCTTACTAACTAGATACCAGAAATGAGTTAAATTTTTGAATGATCCAAATTATATAAGAGATGAAGACAAGTCTTCGTTGTCGGTAGTCATCAACAGTTGTTTTAAAAAGAAAGATTAAAAAGATACGACGAAAAACAAAAAAAAGTACTCGATTACTTGATATGATTATTACCACTTTCTACAAAGATGGCAAGTCTAAATTATTTGAACTGAAAGATTCTTATTATGCGAACACTTTTTTTAATTATTAACTCCATATTAAAGTATGATTACCGTTTAGTAAACTTTTACTTAGGATTATCACCATTTAATGTTGTTGAATAGTGTTACAGACTTGTTACTAGAGATGCCTGATGAGTAAGAGGATGAAATAATATTTGCACTTTTTGAGATAGATAGATATATAATGAAAAATAAAATCACGACCGGCCATTACATATGTTTTAAACATTTTTTTCGTAAGCAACCAATTCTCGTTTCGGATCAGAGACTTTCTTAACCAACTTTGATTCACAAACTTTTCATGTAAACACAATCAATTTTGATTGATAAAAACTCTACGCGCATCACTAGAGTGTTAGTGGATGATAACAAGTACCAGAATGTCAATGCCTTGATAAACTCGAATCTTATGCAATCTTGAAAATTTATTTTTAGTCCAATGTGTGGTATGAAACTTTTGATTTGAAGTGTTACTTTTGGCCCTACATATCTTGATTTTACGCAAATATTTATGGATATGTGCAATTAAAAAAAACTTGAAAAACAAAAATCGTTTTAGTTGCTTACTTGCTTTGCCTGTGCAACCACATATATATTTGGATTTAAAGGCTTCTCTCTTTCGCATGTGAGTATATGTGACAAGAAGCGCCACCAAATCTAAGTTAAAGCTTGTTTTCTCTGTCGATGCCCATACTAGTTGTCTTTTTTTTTTTTTTTTTTTTTTTTTCCTTTTCACATCACATAATTTTTAATTTTCTCCTACAACATACACAAACATATTTAGAGGAAAAATTACATTGTGGCGATTAGGGTTTTCTAAAAAAATTTAGATGTCAATTTAACTTTTAAAATCGATTGAGTAGATGTTAGGTTGTGTATGGTGGTAACAAAGATATATATCTTTGTTATATGATATGATGCAATGAAATGGTCTAATTTTATGTTCGATGAGGTTCAACTACGATAAGGTTTTATATTTTTCACTCACTTTTCAAGTATATATATAACCTTATTCAAGTTTGTTTACTGATAAACAAAAATCACAAATAGTAGATTCCAGGTTTTAAAACACATGAGAAATTGAACAAATGATTTCTATCAGAACAGTTAGCTAATACTATATACAAAATTTATCCCTCGTCATCGACCTCATCTATGTAGCCATTCCTCTTAACATATTCACGTCACCATTTTATCTTATCAAAAAAAAAATTGTCTCATGATGACATGCTAGTATGCTAGCTACAACATATATCCCAAAAATTGTCCTTTTATTTTCTTATAAAGATTGATGAAGAAACACACAATGAAATCTAGAAATTACGAGATACCGACTACGCAAAATATAAACTATTTGACCTTATATATACCATGCTTAGACTAGGCAAGTGAAGGCAAAAGTGGGATATCGCAAAGGAAGGCATTGAGAACGTGTCGAAAAAAAATATGTCGAGGTGGCGGACAAATTATTATTTGCTCCTATCCAAAACTCTCTCTATTCAAAAAATATAATCATAAGGAAAAAACATGTTGAGAGAAATGATTGGAACATGAGAGATTGTGAGTGTTAGATATCATTTACCACCGACCCGATCCGGTGAAATCTTTTTTTTTACTAATTGGAAAAGTTAACATTAAAAAGCATAGTTCCCTCCAATGATTGTTGTCAATTCCAAGTTTTCTACTACGGAATCAAATTATTTTTTCTCGACTTTTATAACCAGTTGGTCTTTTTCCATATGATTAAAGTGGGTCGATTCGATTATATACCTATTTGATTTGAACGACTTAACTTTCAAACTACAAAATCCCTATCTTAAATTAGACCTCGAAAACCACTTGTATGTTAGCTTATCCACACACAAACAAACAAAAAAACTTTTATATTCATGTATTATGTATATGTATACAAGATCCTTACATTTTTCGAACTGCTTAATTTACTATATTCCTTAGTATTATTGCTCTGGACGCAATTTTATAACATAAGTCGTTAAATTTTTATAGTACTTGCCCAAAAAAAAAAAAAAACAATACGTGAGAAGGAAAAAAAGTTATAAAGAGATCAATTGTCGTACATTTCTTACAAATACTTAAATTGTAAGGTCTTTTTTTTTTTTTTGAGAAACAGATCTCAAAATAGTAAGTTATTTTATACGCAAGGAAAAAAAAAGCTCAAATAGTAAGTTCTATACGAGGACACATTATTTACATAATAAGTAACACATTTTGAAATCATACGTGAACAAAAGAAATACTAGTTATTTACAGTTTTTACACCTCGTATTTTTTTATAACAAAATTATAAACCTCCATTTATATATATATATATATGACCCCTTAAGTTTTGAGCGAAATTTCAACACAAAATTTGCGGCTAGGCACGTTGATGATGAATTGATGCCAATTCTTAAAAAAATTTATATGATGAGGAAAAAACCAATAAAAGTCTACAAGGAGTATCACACCAATCAACATCAACCTTAAGTTTTCTCCTTCATTATTTAGATGCAACACCCAAAAACTTCGACCTCTCTCTATCTCACTCACTTCCACTTACATTGAAAAAACCTCTTTCAACTCTCAGTTTCAGATTCTGCAACCAAAGAAAATAAACAAAGAGAGAAAGAGAGAGGTATATAACTTCCATTTCAAAAATACAACCAAGTCTTTCTTTATTTGTTTTCTCGTGGCGATGGAGAATTCTTACGACTCAACTACTCCATATATGGTGTCATGGTCATTACAGTCTGATTCTGATTGGAACCGCTTTAATCTTGGCTTCTCTTCTTCCTCCTCCGGCAATTTCCCGGCTGATGATTGTGTCGGTGGGATTGAAAAAGCTGAGTCACTTTCAAGAAGCCACCGTCTTGCTGAGAAAAGACGCCGTGACCGTATTAATTCCCACCTCACCGCTCTCCGCAAACTTGTCCCCAACTCCGACAAGGTAAACTGACTCTGATCCAGACAAGTGACATGTCTTCGGTTTCGTCAATTTGAATAGACCGGATTTTATCTGATTCGTTTCGGTTAAATTGAGAATTTTTAATTGAATTAACCGATTTATTATCTGGATTGGTTATGAGTAACAATTTAAGTAAACCGGTTTTGGCTTGACTCTAATACAGTTAGACAAAGCAGCTCTATTAGCAACAGTAATAGAGCAAGTGAAAGAACTCAAACAACAAGCAGCAGAATCACCAATCTTCCAAGATCTTCCAACAGAGGCAGATGAAGTAACCGTGCAGCCTGAAACCATCTCTGACTTTGAATCAAACACCAATACACTCATCTTCAGAGCTTCGTTTTGCTGCCAAGACCAACCAGAGGTAATCTCAGAGATCATAAAAGTTCTCACAAAGCTTCAACTCGAAACGATCCAGGCTGAGATTATAAGTGTCGGAGGTCGAATGAGAATCAATTTCATCCTAAGAGATAACAACTGCAATAAGACTACGAACGTAGCTTCATCAGCAAAAGCTTTGAAGCAATCACTTTGCGCTGCGTTAAACAGAATCACATCTTCTTCTTCTTCATCTACTTCTTCGGTTTGCAGAATCAGAAGCAAAAGACAGAGATGGTTCCTCTCTTCTCACTACTCACAATGAATGCATTTTCACTATATACTTTTGCAGATAGTAGAACTCGAACCCATTATTACTAAAAGGTTTTTTCAGCAATTTGGTTCCTACTAAACCTAATCAAGATTTGTATAATCCAAAATGTGTATAACCTAAATCTGAATTGTTCCATAAGCTCTAAACCAAAATGATAAGATCACAACGAAGATTAGCATAAAGATATAACATTACTGTTAGAAAAAAACTGATCCGATAGATTAAGGTTTAACATTAATCGAAGATCCATACAACCCAACAATAACGAAGACAAGAAAAACTTGAAACGAGTTCAGACAACAGTACTAAGGATTATAAGCGAAAAGACAGAAACAACAGGGAAGCAGAGATACGAAAAAGGCGAAGTCTTCGAGATGGGTCTCTACTTAGATCGCTGTCTCATCTTTCGTCTCTTCCTCTTCAGCCTCCTCATACGCTTCTTCTTCCACTGCGCAACCACGACAAAACAGAACTTCAATCAGCCACAACAATATGAGACGTAACCGAACAAATCAGACAAAATGTAATGCTGAAGATTGGAAAAGATGGATGTATACCTTAGCTCTCATTGCGGAGAAACTCTTTTTCTCCAATCACTAATCGGCGATTTCACGGCGACGGTAACAAGAAGAGGAAATGGTGCGTGACTGTGAATATATACCCCTTGAAACCCTAGTGTAGAGGTAATGGGCCTTCTTTTGGTGATACCTAATAATTGTTTGGGCCTTTTTGGTGGTTCCTTATTTTTTTTTTTTTGTCGGCAACTTGATTTCATTTATCAAGTCCAGTGGGCAGATACAGAAGGGCTGAGCCCAATAGAGGATTACAAGCGAAATAACAGTTTAAAACTGAATCATAATTTAAACAAAAGATAATAATAACATGAAATTATGATTTAGCAAGTGACACGTGGAGAGAGACGTGTTTTCTCAAAGCTACGCGTCAAGATCACAAGCACCACCGTCAAATTCGCCGGACACCGCCAATCTCCGATCTGTTGCTGTTTATCAGCCACAAAGCGATGAGAATCCTCTTCCCTTCTGTCGATCTCATATCCAATGTAAGCGTACGTCGAGATCTACCGGATCAATCATTTGAAGCTGCTTCGAAATTTCTCCTAGAAACACCAATTCCGGGGAAGCTCTACCACCGACCACATCCTATGTAATGATGTAGTCTAAGATTCATGTTCGCTCATCTGCTATGAGCAAAAGGAGAGTGATGAAGATATTACTCCTCGAGCAACTGGAGAAGACGGAGAGAATTTAAGATAAACGGAGAAATCAACGGAAAGAAGTAAAGTTGGAAAGAGATCGAATCTCGCATATAGCGAGAAAGGAAACCGGACTTAGCCGGAGTTTATTAAAACTTGCACAAAGACAAGAGTATACACAATCTGGACATAGCCAGAAACAAAGCCGACCATAGTCGGAGGACAAAAAACTTTGTCGAAGAGCTTTTCCTCTCTGAAAGGTTTTAGAGAGAGAAGAGAGGAAAGCTCCTGAACGTACCTTCCTCTTTAATTATCTGGTGGTTCCTTATAAATGTTTGGACCTTTACGCTTATTTTTTTTTATTTTTTTTATTTGTCGACAACGCTTTTATACTGTATATTCTTGGCTTTCAAGATATTTGTAAAGTTTAGAAATTTGGTTTGTTTTATGACAGCGATTTAAAAGAAAATGGTAAAAAAGGTTTTGTCAATCAAAGTTATGTTAATGTGTTTTACTTGATTTCTTCAAAAAATGATAGCAACTAATATAATCAAAGTTATGTTACTGTTAAGAATATTGTAAATTATTTAAAAAATGGAAAAACACTTTTAAAAAGCAATAGTCAGTAGACAAAGAGTAGTCACCAGAAACTGAGTAGTCACAAAATCATGTCAAAATATTTAGAAAAATGATCAGTATTTGAGGAGTGAGGACAGATAGATGTCTGTTTAACCCATTGGAATCACATATTCACATCGCCAATATTTAGTGTTGGTGTGAGCGTGTGATAGCCAGCTCGTGCAAACATCTTCTCTTAGTATTACAATTCAACCAAATAATGTATGAAATGCAAATATTCTTCTCATCGACCACCACCAATATATATGCTTGTAGTTGATGAACACTTCTTGAAAACTTATACTCTCATAGTTTCTCTCATTCATTTCTACATAACTCAAACTTCAATGTAGAGATAAATTTAGATAACCTCAGAGATAAACGAATAGTTAATACAGTATATATAATCTCTGAAGGGAGATGAGAAACTCAAACAACCAAATTGAAATGACCATATCCTATATAAGGCACACTCTGTGAAGGAAATGTTGAACCAATAAAATTCCCATACAACTTTTCCACCATCTCCTCCCTCTCGTCTACATGTATATACTTTATTGGAACCGTAATATCTTTTACGAATTCCCCGAAAATAAAAATTTTCGAAAAAAATAATAAAATACCCTCTTATTTATCCTCTATAGGTAAAAAAAAAAAATCCTCCAAAGTTTTGCATGCAAAGCTCCTCATAGAATGTAATCTTCTTGATTCCTCTCATAAACAATATTGAATCTCCAAATTCTCATGACCGACCTTAAGGGGCTCTCAACGTATCTAATATGATCTACCACAGAAAAAACAAATCAATAGAATTCTCCCAAGATAGGATCAATGAAGTCCCAAATATTCCCCCAGTGACTATATTCGTCTTCTCCGCCAAAAGGCCAAATTGTTGAAGATCCATCTCCAACCATATAACCTGGATCCAGACCCATAGAACACACCGGATCAACCACGGGCGGTGGATGAGATATAGATAGACTCGAACCTACTGAACCAGCCAGAGAGTTCAAATCCTCCATCGAATTATTATTGTTAATATTATTACACCCACTTCCTCCTTGTTCCTGCCCTAGGGCCACCTCATGATGGAACGAGGTCGAGTTAGCTACCGGGACATCTGTTAGCTCGATGTCGCCAATTTTATTGTTATTAGCAGGGTGAAGATTCTGATACTGCTGTTGTTGGAATTGTCCCACTTGCACCATTTGATTTTGTTGTTGTTGGTGAGGGAGAAGACCATAACTAGGGCATAACATGGAGGTCCCACCATTAAGGAAGATGTTGTTGTTAAAAGGGATACCGTACGGACCAAAGGCGGCTCCTCCTCCGACGGTGGCGGCGGCGGGGCGAGGGAGGAGAGGTCTTAGGGTTTGAGTAGAGGAAGAGGAAGAGGAAGGAGAAGATGAAGCGGCGGAGACGGAGGAGGAAGAGGAAGAGACGGAAGAAGGAGAAGAAGGGGTTAGGTTGAGCTGAGCACGTGAACCGTAGAGGTAAACGGCGGCTCGGTCGTAGGCACGTGCGGCGTCTTCGGCGGTGGCGAAAGTACCAAGCCACTTACGAGTGCGCTTACGAGGCTCTCGGATCTCGGCGACCCATTTGCCCCAGCTTCTTTGTCGGACGCCACGGTAACGGAACTTGGAGTTGTCAGGACCACCTTTGCCTTTGCGTTTGCGTTGAGCGGAGGAGGTTGAGTCGGTGGTGGTCGTAGTGGAATCGGATGGAGGATTATTGTGGGTTAGGGTTTGGTTAGTATCGTCAAGATGGTGTTGTTGTTGTTGTTTGGAAGCTAAAGGGTCCATAGATGAGGAAGAAGAAGAAGAAGTAGAAGTAGAGAGAGAAAGATAGAGATTAAAGAAATTGGAAAAAAGAAAATGGAGAGGACGAATCAAGAAGAAAGGGAGACTGAAGAGTGTTTGAATGTCATTGTTGTGAATGGTTGATTAGGGCGGTGCTTCTTTTATATATTACTTACACTCTCTTCTCACTCACTTCTTTCTTTCTTTAATTTCCTTTTCTTTTTTTTTAACTTGCTCGTTTGTTTTTTTACCAAATAAGTTTTTGTTGTTACTAATTATTTATGAAGTCTGATTCGAATATGTTGTAACACATTATCTCAGAATGAAATAAAGATACTATTAGAAATGTATGCCATTTTTGGGGGCTAAATGGTTAATGATCATGTGTGTGTATGATATGTTGAGAATGTTGAAGTCGGTTCTTTGATTCTGCTCGAGAGCTGGCTTGGTTAACTCGCATATTGGATACACTCCAAGGCATTCAGAGCTAGATAACTAAAAGGATCAGAATAAATATTTGTGAAGTTTTGATAGTTCAAGTTATTTGACAATCACATATGTGAATATATATGCAGAATCAAATTCATAAAGTTAGGAATTGCAACATTAGAGAAATAAGAAACGAATTATCTAAGATGAGAAAGATAAATCAATTTTAATCTTTTCTTATCAAACAATTTAAGATTATAATACAAAAATAAAGTAAGACAATTTAAAAGGTTAGCAAAAACAAGTGAATAAAATAGTAGAAAACATAACAAAGAAAATATTTGAACGTCTTAACAACAACATTAGACGTTAGCAAATCATTACATAACCAAGTAAAAGGAAGTAATTCTCGCCACCAGAATTTGAGTAGCACGGACCACCGAGGTTCTAGTAATTTGATATGGTTTTTAAGGGAATTAGTGGATGATTAGGAATAACTGTAGAGGATGTAACACTAGTCAGGGACTAATTTTAATATATGGCATTAAATTACCAATATTATTGAACTCTCTTGCAATTTAAGTAATCAACAAGCATTAACAAATAGTAATAACTAGACTTAATCACCATCACATCAATTCTCATTGACTAGAGAAATAAATCACATCAAGAATTGTGTTGATTATTTTACAAAACGTTTTCTGGACATGAAAAGAAAATTATGTTATAGTATTATACTATATAAAAGGATCAAGATGAATCTAGCATTACCAACAACCCTATTGAAAGAACTAACAATATTCATCACCTAATAATCACTGATCTTAGTGATGAACTGAGAGAAGCTTCTTTTTATTTTTACGTCAACTGAGAGAAGCTTCTATAATTCGATAGTGTCGTCAACAAAATGTATACGAAGATAATGTCAAATACCCAATGATGTGTTTCTTATGTCTAATGTAAACTTCGTAAGCAAAATGCTAATTGTTGACACAACTGTGTTTTGTTTTCGGTTTGAGTTATTTTCTTTAACATAAGAGCAGCCACAACGCAGGGCTTTATGGAGGTTCTTTAGGCAAAATGTGATAAAAAATTAAGTGCATAATCATGTTAAATATGGAGAACCGTTTCTCAAAGAGGAGACCTTATTAAGGGGAAGAGACGATGACGTGGCAAGAGTAGATTGGTTGATGGTAAAAATATTTAAAAAAAAAGTTTACCTTTGCTTGCCTCCTTCTGCTGTTCATAATTTCACTCGGCTTCTATCTTTAAACGATTGTACATAAAGAAGTTAATCATACGAAGTTACGAACCAAAAGGTGTATTAAAATATCAATCACATATGTATTACATGATTATGATTACTTGTAGCTATTACAATCAATACAATTTTTGATAGATATGGCAAAAGTTTGAAATTAATCAACATAATTAATGTATTTATTTTCTTATATCTTTTTTTATATTTTTATTTGCTTCTATGTAATGTTTTTAAAAACTCACCTTTATTTCAAAATTAATAAAAATGCAATAATTATAATATTATGTATTAAAAAAAAAATTAAAGAACCCCGTGGCTTTTACTATTGGAAGACAATAAATTTAAAAACCTCTATTTCATCTCTTAACTTCAAATCTCACAAAATTTAAATTAAAAATATTAACAAAAGTCCCATATGGATATCTCCCATTGAGGTTGCTTAAAAAATATAATTTACTAATATTTAATTTGTCAAATTTTTGGAGAAGAAAATAAAATTGATTTGCGCACTCGGAGGGTGTTGCAGATCCATTGCCTGCTGCAGCCACTGGAGGGACAGAAATACAGATGCAGAGACAGTAATTATTTTTTCTTTCTGATATCATTTAACACAGACATAGAGATATGTGTTCATTTAGTCCACTTAACACCATTCTTGGAAGACGACTTGTCTTCGGTCAAATACTTCGTCCGGTAGATATTCTACATTTTGGATACTTCACGTTTAATCTTAAGAACTACTATGCTAGAAATTTTAAAACTATCACATGTCAATGCATAAATAATTAATTTATATAAATTAAAGAGTAAGTTTATTAAAAATAGTAGTTTACATTGTAGATATTTATGTATGCTTCGACTTCAAGAAATACTATAAGAAAAAACAAATGAACTCACCATCTAACTCAACTGATACAATATAAATTTCTTTTGAAAAAATTAGTTACTCGGAGAAAAAACTAAACTACCTATAGACTAAAGATTTTGGGTTGACCTAAACACACAAAAACAAAAGGACCATTGGCTATTAGACTTTTTTATACACTAGAATTTAATAATAGAAGTCTCTTTATTTATTTTATAAAACATAAAACAACTAAAAAATGTTTGTTGTTATATCTATCGACTTTAACAGTTATAGAATAAGATGATGCATCAACGAATGGTAGTATATATAAACATAAATTGCAGAAATATTATCATAAAAATTTAACTTATTTGATACTAATAATAACTCATCTTCATGGGTTACCTTTGTTGTTTGACATATATCTACAAAACTATGAATTACTAAAAGGAAAATGAAAATGGAATATTGCATGGGGGAGATGAGGTGGCGAAGAAGGAAGCAAAGACAGCAAAAGAACCAAAGCTTTTTGTGTTGTGGTTTCTGAGATCTCAACCCAATTGCCTTGGAACTCTCACCTTTTTATGTCTCAGCAGAACCCAACTAGTTGCGCCATACATTCGTTTTCTTCCATTTTTATCCACATTATTATATCCTTTTACCAATCGATACAGCTTTGATTATTCCAGTCTCATAATTCACGTGAAAGTTCGTATAACAATGAGTTGAACGTTTGATAACATTAAAGAGATGTTCCAACAATTTCCAGATGCTTAAGTTAAAATGATGACCATAACATAGGGTAAAGATTTTCAAATGCTTTACTACTTCAGTTCTGCAACGGATCAAACATATCAAATTTTTTTTTTCAGACATGTCAGTTATGTACAATATTATACTGTTATGTTTCGTATAAGTAACGAAGTGTTCATAGTTTGAATTGTTTCATTAAAAATATATATTGTTGATGCGAGAGAGGAAAATTGTCGAGGAAGATGATAAAAATGTTCACATGCCCACAACAATTACAAACCGTGGGCTGAACTTTATACAACAGCTAAGATTATGTGTGCGTCTGTCAACGACATGTATGTGTTTTGGATAAGGGACTTTAAGTTTTATTAGTAGATTTTTTATTCCAGTGTCCCCTAAAGGACAACTCTTTATTTAGATTATGTTATAAGATAGTATAATATTAGGTGCGACTTAATAGTTAATACGACATGAATGCATGGAGGGCTCTATCATTTTGACAATATAATTAACAAAATCACATTATTAGTAGTAGTAGTCGTTGATGCAAAGATTCTCCATGTCTGACAAAAGCACTTTCCTTTTTGGGAATTATTTTTCATGATCGCATCTTCGTACTCGTTTTCCATAAGAAATTTTCAGTTTGATTTCATTTTTATTTTTATGTAGATACGAAATTAAATTATAATATAACAAAAAACACTATTATCTTAAAATCACTAGACTATGAACCTTGTCTGAACAGTAAATTTTACCTATTAGCAAATATATCGTTATATATAGACTTATAGTGGCTATTCGCCTATTCCCGTATAAGATTCGGAATATTTATTATGATCAAGGCTGATGATGCCCAAAGAAAAGCACAAGTGTTGTCGAAACATTTGATGTCCGTTACAGAGTCATTAAGAACTATCAACCCACATCACTCATGAAGCCTCTCTAGTAGTACACACGCAGACCATGGAGAAGTATACATTGGGCCTTCTGGGGCCTTCTGTTGGGTTTATTCCTTTTTTTTTATCCATCCATGTTAGGTTTACGGCATGAAATACGTTTTTCTGCAACGATGTCATGTAATTTGTACATACATAAATCTAAAAGTCCAATGCTAATTTACACACAAACTGAAAGGGGTCTCAAAGAACATTGCTGATTTTTTGGCAATGGACTTACCAAACAACTGTAAGATGTTGCAATGTAATTTCAAAGCTTATAGGGAATTGATTGTTTCTTCACCTCCTTCTCATGACAGGTTCCCATATTCATTTTTTTCTTTTCGGATTTTGGTTGACTATGTACGTAGAACGGTAGAAGATGTATGTCAAAAAAAAAAAAAAAAAAATGAATGTCAATTTCCTTTCTTTCCTTTTTTTACCTCAAACTTTTTTTGTTTTGTTTTGAAGAACCTTTTGTGCTTATAAATAGGGATGATATACACGAAGGTCGCTAATCTCCAGCATCACTCATTTTCTCTTTTTCTTCGAAACTAAAACAGAAGAATTCATCTTTCACGTATGACATATCTTTAGTCTTTTTAATACATAATGCACTTCTCTTGTCGACGATGACTGTCTCTACAATAATTTTATTCGTAAAGATTGATCGAACGTAAGACATCTTTTAAGTCTTGAATTGACATACTTTACACTTATAAATTTTTTTTTTCCATACATAATGTTTTAAGTAAATTAATTTAATTTTCAACCAAAAATATCTCAAAATCCTGAATATAGTTTTGATATAAACATTATTCTTTATGAAAATTATGTAAAACATTGATACATTACGCAGAGTTTAAAGCCAAATACAAATCTTACGAAATACTTTCTCTCTTCGAATTTTTTTTTTTTTTTTTTTGTCATCTCTTTTCGAATTATCTTGCCAACAGTTTTGCGCGTTCATTTCATTTTATATCTATTCACAAGTTATGACATGTTTAGAAACCGTCGTAAAAGGTTATGAAATATGGATAATTGGATATGAATTTAGATTAACCATTATTTAATTTTAGTGGATCTTACTATATAAATATAATTTTCACATCTATTTGGCAGATATACGTTGGATAGTAGGTAGTTCCATGCTGGCTACAAAACAAAATCGTTAGTTTAAAAGTCAATTATTAAGATATTTACAAGTTATGGAGAGTTCATTCCCTTTGGTTGAGCTGACTTTTTTATATATCCAAATCTCTAACTGAGATTCGTTCCAACCATAAACATAAATGAGCCGATTCATATGTCTCTCATATAATGCGTTTTTATCGTTGACAAAAATGATAACGTATTTATTTGTTTTCAATCAATGATTCAATGTATATATCATCAAATATTATATAGTACTATTATGTAGATCCCTTTTTTTTCTTAAAGTGTCAAAATCCTTCAATAAGGATTATGTTAGTTATTAAATGTTATATACTCTATAATTCTATGATCAGCGTCTCGAGCCATACAGAAGCTGCGACATGTCAGTTTGACTTGCGTTGTCTCCTAATTAAATAATTTAACGCACGTCTAACTTAACCACAATATTAAACATCTCTAGCTAATCACAATCTTAGTCAAACCATTTTCAATCTTTAATGGGACGGTTCCAGTGGTGATTCTCATGGCCATTACGATTTAATTATTTTTGAGAATCTTGAATAATAAGAAAATGTCCAAAGTAAAAGAGAGACTCGTATAAAGTTCTACTTAAAAAAATACTACTATGTAAACAGACGAATTTAGATATGATTTTTATTTCGGGAAGGATTTTGTTGAAAATATCTGAGCAAATAAATGTGAAGTAGTATCAAATATGGTTTAGTTTAATAAAATATATCTAATTTTTTTTTTATAAAATATCTTCCTAGATTACACGATTATTCTTCGACAAGACTACTTATCTACTCTATATACAGTACATTATTCTCCATGATTTACAGATTCATTACAAAAGGCAAAAAAACTTACAAGAGACCATTAAAAAGAGACAACAGCAACTAGCTAGATGGAGAAATCGGAAAATTCAGAATGATTAATGATCAGTTTATAGGGACAAATCAATCTTTCTTTTGTCATAAGATACTCCATTGATAGAGAGAATAGATACAAATAAAAATTACCTACCAAATTAATGATGCAAATTTATGTTTAGGATTATAAATAGGAGAACAAAAGCGTTTTAACATAATAATAGCCAATCATGCATGTTGTTTTGCCGACACATACTAGCGCTATTTGGGACCAAGTGCAACATCAAAACCATATCACGGATCGCAAAAAAAAAAACAGAAGAAACTTTTCTCCTTTTTTATACTAGTATTAGATTGCAAAAATAATTGGTATGGGACAATTTTAAATCCGTTGTTAAGTTTAAGCATAACATATTAATATCCTAAACGACATTGTGAGTTTTTTTTACTACTACGAAGCTAACTATTGTCAAGTTTTGGTTGCTCCATCTTCATATTAGAGTATAAGCTCCATCTTCATATATTATAATAGTAATTTTGGTTACTACTAAGATCCTGATTTCTATAAAGAATTCCATAAATTGATAGTGGACTGCCAATAGGCGTGCAATGTGTTGAAGTCTTGAAGAATAATAAAAATAAATCTATAATAGTCATTTGTGTTTGATGATTAAACAAAACAAATTGGAAGGTGTGTGAAGGAACTAAACAATGTACATATTTTTTTCTTTAAAAAAAAAAACCAAAATTGGATTTAGGTAAAATAAAGTCAAAACTCATATTATACAAGTCAACGGATGAGAGTTCATAGTACTTTTATTTTTTTTAAAGTGAAAAGTAAAAAGGTAAAGAAAAAAAAAATTAGAATTTATTATCCTTTTTCTCTAATTTTATGCGTTAGGACTCATCACAAGATTCTCGTAGGCGTCAACGGCGCTTGACGGAACGGCGACCATTACTTTAACGGCGTCACTTCGTTCAGGAACCGGAAGTAACAAACAGTAACGGTCGCAACAAACCGATCCAACATGAATCGGTTTACCCAAACCGAAATCGAGCTTCTCTAACCCGAGACGTGACCACTGCGACAGTATCAAGACACCAACCGAGTCAGGACTCGCTCTCTCCTTGCTCACAGCTTCAGCCACCGATCTGACGTAATCGTCGCCGACTCTCTCCTTCGCTTGTTTCACGAGCATCGTCGCGTAGCTTAATCCTTTATCCGTCAAGTCTTTCACGGTGGTTTGCGCACATCCGACGACGAATGCGTTCCCGTAGTATCCATTGGGAAGACTCGGTTTGACTCGGTCTCTAATGTTGATGCTGAACAAAAGCTTAAGGATCTGGTTCGATGGCAAGTTCAGTGATCTCGCCCAGCTCCTCCATACGTGTGCAGAGAGTACCTCGAACGATGTGTGTTTCGAATTGAACTCACCGAGTCGACTCGCGAGTTTTTTTAGCTCGTTAAGCTTCTGTCTCTCGAAGACAACTGATGTAGGGACGAGCCGCTCGGCGTTGAATCGGTTTACGAATCCGCATAGATCGGGAACTCGGTTGAACTCGGGATGGCTCAACGAGTCACGAGCAGGGGACGGCATAAGCAATTGTCGATCCCAGAGGTGTTTCCTCCTCAACTCGGTTTGACTCAGCGAGTCTTTAGATAACTCCGCGAACAAGGCGAGAAACTCGGCGCTGCCGATTCCATCGGAGACGCAGTGGTTGACACCGACGGCTAGAGCAGCGCCGCCGTCACGGAGCCAAGTGAGCTGGACGACGAGAGGAGGGGCGCCAGCGAGGACGTCGATGACGTGGAGTGAGAGAAGCTTCCGCCAGCTAGTCACGTGCCGGGGAGGTTTCTGAAAGTCGAGGCACGTGAGGATGTTAGAGACGGCTTCAAGAAACAGAGCACCTTGGCCGCGGCAATTGACCTCGAGACCTCCGCCGTCGGGTTTCTCACGAACGCGGCCGGAGAAAGGGAAGTAAGGAACGAGAGCGCGGGAGAGAGCGGATTTGAGACGAACGGAGAGAGAATAATCCGGGTCGGAAACGGGTGGGTAAACGAGGAGGTACTCGATGGTGAAACGTAGGAAAAGCTGAGAATCTAAAGCGGAGAGAGACAGAACAGAAGAGGGTGTTTGGTCGGAAGGAGTAATAACTGTGGCTTCTTTCACATGAACTAAGGATCCCATTGCTTTCTTTTTCTTGCTCTGTTTCTTCCTTCTCCTTCCCAAATAAACAAGGTGGGTCTCTTCTATGTGTATTATTTATAAATATATATATATCCTCTGTTATGTGTATTATTTTTTTAATTTCTTTTTTTTTTTCTGTTACAAATGTGTATGTGCTTGTATAGTCACGTAGATAGAGGTATCGAGACAGGTAGGGTAATTTTGTAATATGGGTGCTCATTGTTTTCTTTTTTTCTTTTGACATGGTGTGTTGTATCGTGCATATGTACTCTTCACTCTTGTGTGTACGTGTTGCCTTATTCTCATTGATTTCGGATTTTGTAGGTCATTTCTTGATCCGCTGGTCCGAAAGTTTTACAACTTCTACTTTTGTAAACAACTCTTTGTATTACAAATTCTTGGAATGTAGATTTTAGTTTCAGCGAGCATGTCTGATAATGTTTCTCCATAAGCATAATATAATTTTATTTTTTTTTGAGAATTTTAGCAAAGTAGTCAGAATTTTAAAGTGTAATTTGGATTATAGTTTTGGGTGTCTAATATGAGATTTATGTATCTTTTGAGTTCATATAGAATATGAAGAGTGATTAACTAATTTTGTTGAGATGTTGAAAAGATTTCGACAAATAGTTTTGGTTGATCTTGGATATCTAGAGAGATACATACTTTGGTCAAATTTTAAAATTGGTGGATGGATTTTTAGTGGACGTTCGCGCATATTTCTACCGTCCGTTCAAATATGTAATCAACCATCACACGTATTATTATATGGTAATGCATTGACCATGTGATATATATACGATCATCCAAAGGTATAAAAACATGACCATATATGTTTACACTATCCACATACTGCATACACGAACATTAATTTTGTTTATGCAAGTTCTTACCGCGGATTGTAGTATTGACCAAACGAGCCCTTATCAGTCTCAAATGATCATTTATGAAATTATTCATAGAATAAGAGCTAAAGACAAGAAAAAATGTCTAGTAAAAAGTAAAAGTTGTGTTTGGCAAAAGGTTAGAAAGTAGAAAAAGTTCACATGTTTCAGAATGTATATAAATTAAATATCATTGATCGAGCCCATTTTTTCTATTTTACTGAAGTATGAGAAAAAAAAAAGCTTAATTATTTTGCAATCTTTTAATTCTGAAAGTCGTTGAAGTAATGTGTTCCGGTGTGAAATGAAAAAGGAATTGATTGACAATTTAAGCTAGGAAAACTAACATATTTTTCTTTTGTTAAACATGTTAACAATATGTGCAAGTAACTCATCAACTTAATCATGAGCTTTCGTAATTTCAGATACTTTTTTAAAAAAATCCCGTTAAGCACATGTGATATGATAATTAATTTTACATTGTTAGCATATGCTTTCAAGGTCTTTTATATATATATGAAAAGAAAAAATCCTAACTATATCACTTTCCGCTTCCATATATAAATCAGTTTATTTTTTGGATGAAACGAGCAAAATACATTATAGAACAACCTAAAAGAAGAAGGGACTCCTCACCCGACTAAATCCGACTCCACTAAACAAGTTTAAAGGTTAGAGAGTTGCAGGGTGGTTTCTATAATTTACACCTTTCTTGGTTAGAGTTAGTTGGATGTATAAAAGGGGCAATATTAATGAGGAATATAAAAATGGTTGTGGACTTGTGATGGCGGTTTACAATATATGATGTGCCTTGCCTTGTTGTTTGGGCGTTGGCGCATGTGTCTAAAACAGTGAAAGATTTGGTGCCAAGATTCTCATGGAATAACTTTATTGAACAAAGACAAATTCATACTCTTGGAATATTATATGAAATACATACTGTCATACTCTTCTTCCATAATTATGCAAAAAAAAAAATTATCTAGAGAGAAACATCTCAACTTCTTTCCTTAGTATTCTAATTAGGGTTCATCTTATGGAAATAAACTAACATGTGTGCTAATTTATAGAAAAAAATTCGAATATCGCACATAGCTAGTTAGCTACTACGTTAAAATGGAATGTGCTATCTCTTTCTTTACCGCGAGACACGAAGCATGAGTTACGTACCGAAAGATCATCAAGGAGTTTAAAATTTCAAATGGTAACCAAACCATTCAAAATTAGTATAAACAAACCATTTTGTGCACTTTTAATAGAAATCATATGTACAGAGTACAGACCTATTTCAAAAGCAATGCCACTTTTTTTTTCTTTAAATTTTACTGTAGTGGTCTAGTCAATTCTAGCATGGACCCATAAATATTTAACGTGGTCACTCGTATAGTGTATATGATCTACTTTTCTTTTTAAGTCATATTTTTATTTTCCGGTATGATATAAAGCTTCTTTATTCAATGATGATAGAACAGTACTTCGGCCCTACGAATATTACCTGTTCTTATTAATCAACCAAAACGCGATGAGTAGAGTGTCTGAGAGATTTAAGGATCGATCAAATTTTAATTCGATGGAGTTTCTAATATAAGAAAGAGTATGTATATTGAAAGCATAAATCGAATGGTACGATGTATAAATATGTATTTGATCACATTATAATTAATATGTCTCCATATATATTAATTAGTTGCAGTAAATGTCCGAACAAATTCTTATCGTTAAAAAAAAAAAGATTGTGTGATAAACGAAGGTGGTGTGACCCGATCGATCACGTTGTTCGAGTGATAGAGAATTATCTAGGCATCAAGTCTCACTATCTACAACTATTATCGTCGTTCTCTTTTTAGTTTTTTTTTTTAGTTTTTTTTTTTGCTAAAAATGTAAATATTTCATTAAAATGAAAATGGTTTAGGTTTACAATCGATGATTATAACCTATAAATATGGTCTCATGACAAAAAGATAATAACATGGAAGCATAATTTTAAATCTGAAATTCGGTCCAACCACTCAACCAAATCTGAAATTCGGTCTCTTTTTAGTTATTGTATATGTTTTAGGTAGCAAAAGCTTTCAATTGTCTACAATTCTACATACAAACCGAGTACCGAATTAGATATATCCCTGATGATACAAAGAGAGAGAGAGAGAGGGGAAAAAGAAGAAGAAGAGGATGGTGGAGTACATTTCACATTCCCATTAGTTAAAAATTAAAGAAGATGATTCGGTAAACCATATAAATGGGTTTATATTGTTTTGATTCTGTTTATGAAAAGAAATAAGCAAGATTTGAGAAGATTTTGTACCAAGAAAATAAAAATAAAAAGGTGCGAAGATTGCTTTATGGGGAACAAACTAAAAGGGTGACTTGATATGGTATGCACATGTTACGGTGGTCATGTTTTTTTTTTCTTTTCTTTTCTATTACACTCAAGGAATCTGAAGTAAGTCATCTACGAACTTTGGTCGTATATTATAAGAGTAGATGCATATGCTGAAAAGTGAGAGGAACTTTCCATACAAATATAGACCTTGTATTCATGTCGGTGACGCCGACGACATGTTAAATATTATAAGTAACACGAGGAGAGAAATCTCGCATAACGATGAAATTGAAATAGAAATAAAGGTAAATGTGATGATGTTATGACGGTGACGCTGGTGTAGCTCGAGTTTTCGAAGTTGTCATTCCTTTCACCAAGTTAACATATATATACCCTCGTTTCATTTGATTGCAGAGACAAAGACACAAACAAGATTATACAAGTATATGTGAAGGTAATTGTGTGGTTGGTGTTTTGCTAATGACAAGCGCAGCATTGATCACTAAGTTTCTTACTTTTGTTACCAGAAAAAAAACAAGTTCACTAAGTTTTGATCAACCTTTTTTTTATTTTTTTAATTGATATCTAGCTAGCTTTGCAGTTCCCATATGACTTCGCTTATATGGACAACCACACTTACTCCTTAAATTAAAATTCGGAAACATGTTCCTAATTTGTTCCTATTTTTGAACTTATCTTGTTTCAGTGTAACTTTAGACTCACACCACATAAGTCATAACCTTCACGGCTTCACTCACGTTTACGCTCAATTCATTGTACACAATAGTACAGTACACGTATATATATATAGGAGCTCTAATATTACATACCCTTTCGTGTGTGTGGTATTAGCTAGCCCTTTGTACCATTGCATCTTAACCATGCATTTGCTATATATCACTTTTAAGTTTATAAATTCCAAATTTTAAACATCAATATATAGATCTTTTCTCATTATAAAGTAAAACCCATAAATCGGCGAAAGTGTGCGTGTGATTAATAAAATGTCACTATTTACGTGTATACTTATCCAGAAGAATAAATAATTTCACAAAGATGACACATATATAGATGCATAAGCACATAGTAGCATGTAGACAGAAAATATGACGAGATAGAGTCATATGAAAATAAAGCCAAAATCCTTGTCATTAAGTTATATTCTTTTTTCATTTTCAACCGATGAGTACGTGATTTTCAAAAAGGCGTAGGCCATCCTATGGGTAAAACAAATCATCTCTTTTTTTTCTGTTTTATATTCATATTTATAAATTTGTTTAACTTAGTTTCGTTATTCGTAACGCATAATATCTATATATAATATATATATATATAAATGAATAAATAAATAAATATTGGGTGTACCCGAAGAAACACCACATGCACATATTATCCATCCAACAATAATTTCGTTTCGTAGGTCCAGCTCTCTTGAGCCACTGGGAAAGTAGCCAGTATGTATAGCCACCATCCCTTCTCAAATAATTAAACAAGAGTACTACTACTACTACTACTTCCCACATTACATACACAATATTCTTGTTAAGTGTTTGTGGTGTTGTTGATCTTATACTATATATATAACTACAAGAAAGTTCAACTAAGTATAGTCTCTATAAGTTAAACCTGAAATCAAATACATGAGATGTTTTATCTATATATTGCTTTCTTAAACTATATATAGATGATAGTTTTTGGAGATTGTTCGAGTTAATCGTCGCAAGCCTGGTTCTCAACTCTTTTTTTACGCCCTAACATCATAGTCAAGAGAGGGGACATAATGCCCATCTCTCAAATCGTTACGACTTGTTTTCTACATTTTTGTGGCTATGGAAACGAGTAGATTCAGAGCCGTCGCTATGTTTTTGAAGGCCACAAACAAAAGGAAAAAAAAAACTAAAATTGATCAACGTGGAGTTTCAAACCCACATGGCTATAGCATCACTAACACCACCTTAACCATTAGACCACAAGAACATTTTTGGAAAATAGGGCCAAAAGTTTGATATAATAGCAAGGGCCGCAAGCCAATGATTCATTGGCTTGGCCTTTGGGCCGGCGCTGAGTAGATTACAACTATTTGTTCGAAACAAACAATATTGCGAAACATTTACATAAAAACATGCTGTATAGATGATATAAATTAGGACCCGAAACGATTTATCGTATTCAACATGAAAATAACAACACTGTATTGATGATCAGTATGTGACCTTTGTTATATCATGTTGTGAAACCAAACTAAGGTTCATTTGAAAATGACACGAAAGGATGATATGTACATATATAGATATCATAAGAGTAAGCAACGAACATATACATATATATAGCTATGCCTCACATATAAAACAAGGAAGTGAAGAAGACATATAAATGTACATATTCGCGTTGAGAAACAGACAAGGAAGAGAAGAAGATTCGAGTGTTAAAATGTAAAAGCCGGTCACCGGCCTCTTAATGAGCTGATCGCAATCATAATTAAATGCAGAGAGAGTGGTTGTAAAGTTGAATCTATATATAAAAGAGAGTATTTGTCTTTTATGTTTGCCAACGCTTTCATATGGTCAAAGACTGGTCGGCAGAGACATCTTACACTTGCATGGAGACAAACTTATAATTCGTAACTCTATCACTACTACAACATTATTTCTTACATAACAGTTTATCTACTATGTCAAAGACTCTAATATAGCTTTGGATTTTTCCGAGACAAAACAAAATAATTTTGTATACAAACAAGAAGTGAACAACTGTTAATTATTCTTTGACAATAGCTAGCTAACCAAGTGAATTTGCAGTCTAGTGTAAAGTCGAGGAACAATGTCTGTTGACACAATAACTTTCTCATTATTTGAACATTGAGAATTGTTCACCGATTCAATTTCATAGTGAAGATATCGAGGAGGAGTAATTATTTTTCGGTTTTTATACTATAGTATAATGCATTTTTACCTTTCCGAAGACCAAAGTGAAATAGCAAAACGTGGAGCCTCGAATGGAAATGTCCGAGTGTTACAGAACATTTTTATGAGTTAATAGGCTATTCTTGATCTAGAAGATGATCGAATAAACGTATACATACTAGTTAATCTATATTATTATTAGGATAAGCTTAGATTATATTAGATTAGATTATATTAGATTAGATTAGATATGATTTTCATATTTGCCCCCAACATTTTATGTCTTTTTCTTTTTCTTTTTTTTCTTGATGTGATAAGTATTGTTTTTTCTTCTTCTTCTTTTTATCACAACCCCTCTTTCTCGTTATCTCCTTTCTCGACTTCTTTAATAATCTTTTCAACCATACTAAAAAGGATTCCTCGCAAACAATTGAATCCAAGTCTTTTCACCAAAAAAGAAAGAAGAAGAAGAAGAAGAAGAAGAAGAAGAAGAAGAAGAAGAAGAAGAAGAAGAAGAAGAAGAAGAAGAAGAGATATTCTTTTAAAGTATCGTATTCTCAAAATCATATCTTTGTTTTTGTTTGTTTGTTAGTATTAATCAAATTTGCATATATAAGAATAATCTTTAGTATCATCCATAAAATAATATATATATATATATACTCGTTTAACAATAAACTATACGATCAAAAATGCGAAAAGAGTTTTCGTGAACAAATCATATTTTATTAGCCTAGCTCTAAGTTCTAAATGGCCTCCTACATACAACATAGAAAATGAAAACAGTTTCCATATCAAATAAACAGTTTCATAACTTGCTTTATAAGAAAAAAACAATACTAAATTCAAAATAGTAGCCACGTTGTAGACTTTTGAAACATCTCAACTAAAGTGATTTTTTATTTTTCAGTCAGTCACAAAAAGATCGTATCAATTTAGGTATCTCTTATTAGTCCTTTTAGTGTTTGGTTTCCTCATCCTTTAGTTACCTAATTTTGTTTCCATAATTATACTTTCTTTAAATATCAATTTAGGTATATCACTTAAATCAAATCTTCTTAGTGCTCAACACAACTGCTAACTAACCTAAACACTTATAAAATAAATTTAAAACTCTTCAACAGACTTGTGGATCATTTTTTATGAGATTGTTGTCTTTGGAACCATAATGGGTATTATAATGGGCCTATAATAGCAGAAGAAAAGCCCATTTAATCGTAGCCCCAATATCTGCCAAACCTTCTTCTTTCGGTAACCCTAAATCCCTAATTCAATTTGTGAAACTCCAATGTCTCTTCTCCGGCGACGACTTGTGAAACAATCAGTCAACTTTAGCTTTCAAATTCTCGCCGATCGATCGTTCTCAACCGTGAAGACTCCTCTAGGTCGTCGTAGAACCACCGAATTTGATAAACTAATCAACGAAGCTGGTTGCTCCGGCGATTTCGAGACCGTGCGCCGTCTTCTAAACAACCGAATAGTGCTCGGCTCTTTCAACACGAGCGACACATTCAAATTTCTCACCAATACCGCCTCGTATTCCTCATGTTTAGAAGATCTCCGCCGTGTTTTGCCTCAGATCGACGGCGGTTTCTCGCGAAAAAACGCTTACGACATTCTAATCTCTCGTCTCTGCAAGCTCGGCCGCATCAACGACGCGTTAATCGTGATAGGAGACATGTCTAACGGGAGATTAGGTCTAACTCCGTCGACATTTCACCCGATCTTGTGCGCGCTCACCAGGAAGAACAGAGTCGAAGAAGCTTGGCGAGTTGTGGAATCGATGAGAACAAAATCTGTTCCGTTGGACGTGACGGCGTACAACTACTTCCTTACTTCGCATTGCTATGACGGCGAATTGGAACCGGCGAGCGAGGTGGTGCGTAAGATAGAGGAAGACGGGATCTCAACGGATTCGCGTAGCTACGACGCGCTTGTGCTCGGCGCGTGTAGGGCGGGGAAAGTAGAAGCGGCGATGGCGATGTTGAGGAGGATGGAGGAGGAAGGCGTGACTGTGTTGTACTCGACGCATGCGCACGTTATAGCGGGGCTCGTGGAGGGAGGCTATTATGCGCTGGGTTTGGAGTTTGTGATAGCGAACGCCGGGAAAGATTTGAGGTTGGATGCTAAGAGTTTTGGGTGTTTGGCTGGTAAGCTTATGAAGAGGAAGAGGTTCGAAGAAGCGAAGACTGTTTTGAAAGAGATGGTCATGAGAGGATTGAGAATGAGTGATGAATTGAGACAATTCTATGAAAGCCATGTGAAGAACAACGATGATGACTAAGTTTAAGTTTGAAAGATAGATTTAGTAAAACCAGAGAGAGGCTTTGAATCGATTATAGCTTAAGCTTAAGAATAGAAACAGAGATGAAGAGCTCTTGTTTGATCGAGTTATTGTCATGGAACGAAGAAGATGTGAATGTGAAGATATATATTAGAACCAGAACTGCTCTGTTTGTGGCATTTGATGTCTTCAATTTGAAGCATGTTTCACTGCAACTGTTGGAATGAACATGAGCTACAAGATTGTTACTTTAAGGCTGTTCAATTCAATCCTTAGTGTAAACTGACGGGAACTAGGGAAGAAATTTATCTATAGTCTTGTTCTTGTAAAACTGAAAAGACTCGTCCAACAAAGATAATGGAGTTAGAATGAAGACTATAAGTAGTGATACATATTATAGAAAAAAAAACACAAATTTTTATCACATGTTACTAGCTTTTCTCGAAGCATAGGTTAAGCTCTGACGTTAACACAGTGGATTACTTACTTAACGTCTTTTGTTTTTTTTTGTTTTTTTTTTCTGAGATATGGAATTTGATTCGATCATATGATGTGTCAATCATCAAGTCATAAAAAGATCGCCTCGATTGACGAGAGAATGAAGATACCGAGAGCACACGTTTCACGTACCTCGCCATGTTAATTCCCACTAATGTTGGAATATAGCATGGTTGACCAACTTATATCCCACCTCATACCACCAATTTTTAATCATCAAAGTTTATTCTTTAAGTACAATTCTGAATCTAGTTTCCCATTGGCCACCATATGGTTACTGGGAGCGCATTAAAAGGCTTCATCGTGAGCTTACATATTAACATGCCAGCTCTCCTTGCACGCCTATTTTGAGTACTTTTTTCTCTTCTTTATAGTCTTCAATGTGCAAATCACATTCTGATGATTTGCCCCATTTATTACTTAGAAACTTAAAAGTGATGTTCTTTTAAGAGAAAATAAACGCATTCAATTGTTTTATATTTGTGTCCATCCGTTTACTGTGTTTTTCTGCACATGTATTTATGATTTTATTTATGTATATCAGATGCTCTCTAACCAACCAAACCAAAAATTATCTATTGCTTTGATTGATATCCAACTAACTTAAAGTTTCTTAATTTAGACACTCGTTGCAAATTATAAATTATATATATATTATCAGATAACCCTAACAGAACCTTCTATGTTTTGCAGCCACCTCCTCAAGATATATACAAATACTAATGTAAATTATTCAACTCCTATTCCTGTAGTAAATAATTCTGTCACCTCAATACAATATCTAAAAATATTTTGTAAATTATTTAACTCCTATTCCTTTAGTGAATAAATCTGTCACCTAAAAATATATACAAATATTTTTCCTTGTAAACTATACTACTCCCATTCCTATTGTAAAACACCTTTGGACCCCTCTATATATAGATACCTTTGGCCACTCCGATCAAACAATCAAATCGAAAGTTATAAATTTCTCTATTGTCATCATTCCACAACAACCAAATCATGAACCTTCGCAAATCAATCGTTCTTACATTCCTCATCACTCTTCTTCCCCTCATCCAGCTCCTAAGCCCTACCAATGCATTACCATCCCCACCAATAACAGCTCTTTACGCCTTCGGCGACTCCACCGTGGATCCCGGCAACAACAACTACATCCCCACTCTTTTCCGAAGCAACCATCCTCCCTACGGCAAATCTTTCCCGGCCAGACTCCCCACCGGAAGATTCTCTGACGGGAAACTCGCCACCGACTTTTTAGCCTCCTTTCTAGGGCTCAAACCCACCGTACCAGCTTACCTAAACCCTTCGGTCAAACCCTCTGAGCTTTTGACCGGCGTCAGTTTTGCCTCGGCCGGAAGTGGTTTAGATGATCGTACGGCGGCCTTATCGTTGACTTTGTCCATGGACAGGCAGTGGAGGTACTTCGAAGAGGCCGTGCGGAAGATGAAGAGTTTGGTTGGAGAGTTAGAGACTGATCGGGTGATTAGGAATGCATTGTTCGTGATTAGTGCGGGCACTAATGATATGACTAATAACGTTTACAGTCATGCCCGTGGGAATTTCATCACTGCTTCGGATTATCAAGATTATCTCCTTACCAAAGTCGAATCTTTTGTCCAGGTACTTACTTACACGTTTATCTTTTAATTTCATATCTAAATTTATCGGAATTTAATTTGGTAGTATATAAATCTTATAAAAAAACGAAATATAGTAATATCTTTAGGAAAAATATGATATTATATATATATATATATGCACATAAATAGTAACCAATTTCTTACGTACATGGATCCCATGTCATTAAATTTATTCACTAGAGTAAGACCTATACGCGTTAGCTAATATAATTATTAGATGTAATTTAGATAACTATTCTAAAACGTTTTCAATAATTTTTTTTCTTTCTATTTTGATATGCATCATTATCTTTATTTTTATTTTTGAGATCGATATGCATTATGTTGTTGTCTTGTTGATACTTTTCAAATTTTAATGTATTTCTTCTTTTAAATTTCTATTTTATTTCAATTTTGTTTCATATTTTCTAGAGAACCAAAGATTAAGACGTTTTCATAGGCCCAGTTTTTTGTGTCCTTGGGATTGTTCTTACAGGCCCATTTATAATAGTTAGAGTTAGAGACCTCTATGGTCATCTTGTTTTTCTCATAGTTACAATATATATGAGAGAGATCCAGTAACATATTTGTTAACCTTTTTTTTTTGAATTTCATATTTGTTATAACCTTTAAAAATGCTTGCAGAGGCTATATGACGCAGGAGCAAGAAGGATTACAGTAGCTGGACTACCACCAATCGGATGCCTTCCAGTGCAAGTAACAGCTGGTAGCCTCACTTCTCGAAACTTCCTTCGTAGGACCTGTACTGAACATCAGAACGTTGATTCTCTGGTGTACAACCAAAAGCTACAGAGGCTAACCTCCCGTCTTAGTCAGAGGCTTCGAGGTTCCAAAGTTCTTTACCTTGATATCTACTCTCCGTTGATAGACATGGTCAAATACCCTCAGAAATACGGTAAGTAGCTGTTTTTTTTTATACACACATTTAATTATACTGTGGCATAGTTACTAATTTGAAGATTCTATTTTATGCAGGCATAGAGGAAACACTGAGAGGATGCTGCGGGACAGGGTTTCTTGAGGCAGGACCTTTATGCCAGCCAATGTCTAGGACTTGTGCCGATGTTTCAAAGTATTTGTTCTTTGATTCTGTGCATCCTTCTCAGAAGGCTTACTCTGTCATTGCTCGTTTCGCCTTGCGAAATTTGTTTCCTCTCCTCTAGGCTCTAGTTCATTATTTTTGTTTCAAAATTTTCTTAATACATTATTGGTGTTCTAGTTATAACAATTCCTTTTATTCCATTATTTTCTTAAATGTTATTGGTGTTCTAGACTTCTAGTTATAACAATTCATATTATTCCATCACAATTGTGAATATTATCAGATTTTTACTATTTTCACTGACTCCAAAAAGTTGGTTTATATGGAAAACTTTTGCCATTTTTAAAAATATTTTGTGAGAATCATACGATGTCAAATATATACTATATTTAAAAGTAAAAAGTTGATCTATCACGTTACAAATATGTTTGACTTAACAAATGTATACTTGTTCAAATTATTAAGGTCTGGGAAGGATGAAACAACAAAGACACATGTAAGTAGACACAAAATCCTACCATAGTTTTGATTCTCTGGAAATATGTAAATATTCTTAAATATATAGAGAACGATATATAGCCAAATCTTATTCAAGGCCCGAGATGATAAGAAAACGATTATATGCGAATAACAAATAACTTGTTGTCTATCGAGGAGATCAAAGACACATCGATCTCCATGTCAAGTACATCTGTCTTCTTGTCTTTCTCTCCATCTTTCTCTTAACGAGTTTTTTTCCCCCTTAATCTCACAAGTCACAACTGAAACTAAAATAAAATTTTGGTTGGTATTAAAATAGTTTTTAAACAATTTTTTTTTTTTTTTTTATAATCCTCTCGTAGAATTATTTATTCTACCTCAAATCGTCAAATTGACAATTTAGCTTCTTTTTTGTTTTTTTTCTATATATGCCGTTCTTCGGTTGTATGGTTGATCTTTATTAGATTCGGAGGCTATAGCTCAGATTAGGTACGATTCGGAATTTTTTTATCTCTTTCGCGTATGTGATGTGTTCGAAGCATCAGACTTCTAATTTATTTGATCTGGTTGAAAATAATATATAGTATACATATAATTAAGAAAGCAACTTAGGTTCACTGACTCAACGTTAATGTATTAACTTTTCAGACAAGATCTCTATGTTAGAAAACAAAATATTGGCTTAGGATACTTGTTGTGTGAGGGTGAGTGAAAACGGGAACTACACATACGTTTGCAACGTCTCACAAGAAGACATAAGAAGACACATGTAAGACAACGTGCAATGTCTTGTAACTCTCAAAAACATATAGTCTCACTAATGTATTGCTTGGTTATTATTCAGTAGAAAACAAATCTCTGCTAGCTAGCTCCCAACTCGATCACAATTCACATATATTTTAAATATGCATTTTACACCTCGACAGTGGAAAAAATGACAAAAAGTTTAAAAAAAAATATCTCTATTATTTCCTTAATTATGGGTCTTGTCACAAATATGCAACGAATGATAAACAGTACAGAACCGTCTTCCATCAACAAGTACCTCAAGATCTCACTTAGAATATAAATATATATATATGTTGTTATATTCACAAAGTGAGATCAAGGGGACTTGCCAAGACCGTAATCTTTCCCTTTTTATGATCAGTTCGATCTTCTTTCCTAATGGTTGGACCAAGTTTTGATATACCTGACGAAGATAATGAAAGAGACAAACCCTGCAGGCTATCTTGTTGATCACCATTTTCTTTTTCTTCATCTTCTAACAAGCATTCCCCAAGGTTGTCGTGTGTCCGAGGTACCTTAAGGGACAAGCTTAGATCCAAATCTTGGTCTGACTTATTGCAGTCATCAGACAATAATAATCTTTTCCTTTTCAAGACATTCTCAGATCCTTCTGCCACTCGAGAATTCTCCCATTGGTAAGAATTTAGTGTTGTAGCAATATGATCTTGTGGCCTTGTTGCGATAGAAGGATTAAGATTGGATGAAAGGCTCTGTCCCCATGATTTGTTAAACGTTTTCATGCCTTCAAGAATGCTTCTATGAATTCTTGGAACAACTTCAGCTACTCCATTGTTCTCATGAGCCGCTTCATGAGAATTGATTCGAAACGAAATAGTTTTGTTCTTATCATCAAGAATGCTATTGCTAACTCCGTGATGAACTCTCTCACCAGGTCGTGCACTAAACAGTGTTTGTCTTGTTCTTGTATTGTCTCGTGCCGTTAAGCCTCTCCAAGGGCTACGGTAGATCTGTCGTCTATGGTCTGTCCACGAACCGCCACCATATCTGTTGAATACATTTCAAGTTATACATGATTTATATATGTTAAATTAAGTTTAAAGTTAATAGGCTGAGTAGTTTTTCAAAATACCCTAGACTAGAAGAAGGCCTTTGATCAAAACTTTGTAGCATTGGAAGTTGGCTAAGATTGTAGGTGTAACCAGCTCCGTGCTCAAAAGAAAATCCTTGATCTCCTGAAGTTATAAAAAAAAGGAAAGAGAAAAATGAAGACACGAATCATTATCCGGTCGATTTCATTTATAAGATATTAAGATTTATGATCAAATTCCATATATAGAAACCCTAACTAGTCAGAAAGAAGTAAATTACCTTGATTCGGGTCATCGGTCTTCTTGCTCCTGTACATCTAGAGAAAAGAAAGGTGAAGGTGGAAAAATATGGGTCAGATAAAGATAAACAAAGAAAGGTACTATATGTGTTATGTGAATGTTTGCAAAACCTGAAGATGGCTCTTGACATGGGCAATACTTAGCCCCTTAACATTCATCAGTTGAAGAACGAGCTTCGGTGTTGCTCCTGTTCCAAGAAAATAATGCAAAGAAAATAATAAAAATTAATAAATATCAACCAAAAACCCTAGAAATGATAGATCTTCACATATGCAATGATCTTGAATATTGATCCATATATATAATTGAAACTCAACTATCTGGGCCACCCAATCTCTCTACAGCTTGAAGAAAGCAAATATGAAGCTCAGGTGTCCATCTCAGCCTTGGAGTCTTTGAGCGGTTGTACGGCCTCACAGATCCACCATTCTTCTTGATCTGATCATGATGATGATGCTGGTGACTTCCACTCTCTTCCACATAGCTATTGCTAGATGGACTCTGATCTCCTGATCTCTCTTCTTCGTCCTCTTCGCCTTCTTCATCCTCCTCTTCTTCTTTGTCTTCTTCTATATTGGTGGTGGCTTTGAAGTTGTTAGATAGACAAGTCTTGGAGTTTTCAGAACTTTTGCTGCTTGATCTCATCTTGGTCTCTAGCTATTTGGCTGTTTTTGTGTTTTTGTTTTTGTTTTTGTTTTGTGGGTGGAACCTTTTTGGTCTATCTTGGAGTTCTATGGACAAAGTTCAATCAGAGAGATCACACACTCATACATATGTGTTAGGAATTTAAGGTGAAGACTTTTGAAGGTCTATGTGTATGACTTTTTGGATGCTTGTATCCATCATTCCTTTTTCTCCCCCTCCCTCTCTCTCCAACTCAACATATATGCTGAAATATATATATGTATATGATGGCAACGGATATTCTAAATTCTTTTTAATATATAGCTTTTCTTTAAACCAATGTTTTCTGTAGTTATTATATGCATCTTAGAGTAAGATAGATCTAGATTACACCTCATGACAAAATTGGTACTTTTACTTTCATTAAACGTTAGTAACTTCAGTCATAAGATATGTTTTAAAAATAGATAATAATTATTAAGTCAATTCGTTCAATTTTTGTGATAGAGAGAGAAATAGAAACTCCCAAGTTGTAGATATATATATATATATATATATATATATATATATAGAATTCGTCTTAATATTGATAATCGATCCTATAGA